CACGTGACAGTGTTCCAAGGTGAGATACATAACGATAATAATATAATACCTGACGATTGCCTCAAGGTCAAATTTAGCACCTTTGTGAATCCGAAATGAAAACTAAAATTTGTGTTTCTAAGAAAAGCTTACAAAGGTTACAGAATCAAACTAATGTACAAACTAGTAGAAAACCTTTGGCATCAAAGTGCCACCATCCCACAGGATGGGTATGGGGTGCATAATAAACATATTAAACTACTTAACAGTGTTATATAAACTCTACCTCCTGACCCTCAGTACGCCTCATATTGCCCCCATAATTAGTGTGTTCTGCAGCGTACAGTTGACTGGTCAGTTAGAGATGTTTGAATGAAGATGTGACCTCGCCCCGAGGTGATGAGTGGGTGGGTCTGGCATCATCTACGGGCGTGGTGAGGATGCCACCCACAAGACTCGACTAATAGGGTAGAATTACCGATAAAATGTTAGGTAAATGGGCACAGATGCGACTAATGTGACATTTTATTGTGGCAACGTTTCGCTCTCCAAGAGATTTGTCAAGTCTTACTGCTAGGTGAAGTGACAGCAGGTGTAAGGTGACTAACACCCAACTGCCTACTTACTGCTAGGTGAAGTGACAGCAGGTGTAAGGTGACTAACAACCAGGTGCCTACTTACTACTAGGTGAATTTAAACACAATAAGGAAACATGTCCATACATCTTTTCTGAAATACGATCAATAATTTGGACGCACAAATTCATCACAGAATAGCGTCTAAAATTAATTTATAAATATAAAAAGTAAATCTAGTTTAGGAGAAAATACACAATGCGAGGCAAGGATGAACCTTCCAGTACCATCTTGTGGGTGAGGCTGTTTTTTTTGGTCTGGGTGGAGCTGTGAAGAAATAGGTGAGGCAGGATGTGCTAGCGAGTTTTTATGGTAGTGGTGGTGATGATCCAAGTGTTGGTGGTGGCGATGAAGATCATCTAGCTGGCTGGGTGGTGGCAGGCAGTATCATCAGCATCAGTGATGCTGACAGAACCCATCAGCAGTGAACCTGAACTCCAAAAATCATGATGCAAAATGGGACTGAATCACTTTTATATAGAGACAGAGAGCCACTGCGGTCGTTCACACCGGCCTTCTGTTCAGCACAAGTTAATGTATGATAAAGTATCGATGTGTAGTGGACATTTGTCAATACACTGAGGAATCCCACACGGAGTTAGTTTAATATGTTAATTATGCACCTCATACCCATCCCGTGGGCGGTAGTAAAAAGATTAGAAGTACATAATGGGTCCAGGGACTGGGCCCCAAAGTTTTGATAGGCCTCATATGGAGACAAACACACATTGCATATTTGGGTCCAGGGACTGGGCCCCAAAGTTTTGATAGGCCTCATATGGAGACAAACACACATTGCATATTTCAATCTCCAACTGAGATCTTCAGCAGTACATGAGAATGGAGGAGTCTGGGTTGACAGGGACAAATTTATGAGTCACATGTTAAGTGGGAGTTGTGAGGGTACTAAACTTTATCTAATGATGACTAGGTTTCCCCATTTCACGTTAACGTGAAATGGGGAAACGGGACCTTTTGGTCATCTGACCGAAGCCTTCCACTGGTTTACCGGTCCATCCTTTAAAAAATAAAATAATGCGTGTACTCCGAGATGTCGCTGGTGGGATGTTCCCCAGACACAACACTAGCACGTCTGAGGAACCCACCACAGACGTAGTGTCAAGAAGACTGACATTAATGTGTCTATGTTGCATTTATTGGAGGGAGAATCAAGCCTCAAACACTTCTTGCACTGAATGACTCATGGGGGTTCAGCGCTTCACGTATCTAAAAAAAAAAAAACTTATACAAGGTAACAAGTAAGAGTGATGTGTCGAGCGTCAATTTGCAATGACTGGTTTTTCCTGATTTGGGGAACTTGGTGAAAAACATGCCGGAGGAGTCATACAGCGCCTGGGACAGGAAAGGCAATCAGCTTTCATCCAAGTGATTATAATTCCAGTTCCCTCGATCAGAAGCTCTTCACCAACATTAATATATGTCCCTTTGAAGGTGTTGAAAAGCCTAGAACACTGACTATTACAGTGTACTTTCTGTACTTCTCACTCTCACAGTACTCTCTGAACCTCTGACTCTCACAATGTAGGTTCTTTACCTGTTTGGATATTACACTGTACTTTCTGTACCTCTGCTCCAGTGGCAAAATTTTGCACCGTCTAATACATCTTTTGCTTTCACAAGGCGTACTTTGAGTGTGCAGATTTGGAAGCAGATCCTGTGATATTTCTCGTCTGCAAGTAATGTTCAGCATTCCTCAGTGTTTATATGTTGAAACTGACGCTGGCAGTGAAAGTTCTATATTCTACACGTCTACAACTTCAACTGCCTTAAAAAGAGTTACTGTTAAACAGTAATATTCTAGTCTGGAGAGAACAAGTACCATAACAAACCACGGAACGGATGGGGTCTGAACCCATGGCAAGGGAGTCCATGTTAACTTCCCTCTGGTGTACAGAAATATTCCTAGTTGGATAATCTTGTTGTAACCAGGTGGCCCAGTGGTTTACGCACTGGCCTGGAGTTTTACGACTTACTCGCCATGGGTTCAAACCCCACTCATTCCGTGTGTGGAAAATACTGTATATTTTCTAGAAATACAGTAGTTATATGTAAATAGATGGCCATACTGTATTTAATAATATTTGTCATAGAAAACGGAAAGCCTGCGTCTGGGCAGGAGACTGGCCATCTTGGTTTTTGAATTGGGATTAGAAACGTTGGTGAATGGGGAAGAATTTTTCGTGCTCTAGAGGTAAAATTGTGCTGATACCTCTCAAATAGGAGGCGAAATTGGTGGATATGCATTCCTGCATAACTTGAGATATCAGACGACTGGACAAGACAGCTCCAGGAACCTCAGATAAGCTCTCTAGATTTGTGTATAATTCTGGCCAGTGTTTTCATAAATTTAGTTAGTGAGGTTTTTTCTGAGTATGATACAACCTTAATCTCCAGTCAAATTGGTGAGTGTTATGGTTAAGATATATTCTCCTTCTGTTGTATAAATGTATATATATATATATATATATATATATATATATATATATATATATATATATATATATATATATATATATATATATATATGTATATATATATATATATATATATATATATATATATATATATATATATATATATATATATATATATATATATATATGTCGTGCCGAATAGGCAGAACTTGCCATCTTGGCTTAAATAGCAACGTTCATCTTGCCATATAGGACAAGTGAAAATTTGTGTATGCAATAATTTCGCCAAAATCATTCTGAACCTAACGAAAAAAATGTGTTTCACTGTGTTTGTTTAGTATTAAATTACTGTAAACAAATCTAAAATATATTTAGTTGGGTTAGGCTAAAATAAATTGCTCTTGTTATAATAAGGTTAGGTAAGTTTTCTAAGTTCCTTTTGGTGCAAAATTATAAATTTTTACATCAACATTAATGAAAAAAATATATCTTTAAACGTATAAGAGAAAATTTTAGAAAGGACTTAATTTTAAATGAGTTCTTGCTAATTGACCAGTTTTACATATTCGGCACGACATATATATATATATATATATATATATATATTTTTTTTTATTTTTTTATTATCACACCGGCCGATTCCCACCAAGGCAGGGTGGCCCGAAAAAGAAAAACTTTCACCATCATTCACTCCATCACTGTCTTGCCAGAAGGGTGCTTTACACTACAGTTTTTAAACTGCAACATTAACACCCCTCCTTCAGAGTGCAGGCACTGTACTTCCCATCTCCAGAACTCAAGTCCGGCCTGCCGGTTTCCCTGAATCCCTTCATAAATGTTACTTTGCTCACACTCCACCATATATATATATATATGTATATATATATATATATATATATATATATATATATATATATATATATATATATATATATATATATATATATATATATAATATATATATATAATCCTTTATTAATTTAATATACAGTCCACAAATTTATATATTTACCAGAATTCCTGGTGTATGTATATTTCATTTATAATTAATAGGTCCAGAGCAACTTGTGGATATGACAGTGGTAGGTATCGAAGGGGGACATTTTTTGCGACCTAGGTGTCCCAAATTCCTACTTGTCGATGTAACTCTGATAAATAATAATTATCTTTGTTATCATTTACTGTTATGTATATAATGATACATCCAAGTAAATGCAATTTTCCACACCGTGGTTTGGAAAAATAAACACACACAGCCCACACAGTGGGCTTTACCAAGCCACAAACAGATCAGTTTGTGACTTGATAAAGCCCAGTGTGTGGGCGAAACGTCAATACTCACATTATACTGCTTACGTGTTTATTTTCCATTGTATCGGTATTTTATACCATTTATTTCCATTCCGTGGTTTGTTTTCAATCGTATAACGATTTCGTGAGTCATTTAGCCTATCATTTGCCTTGGACTTGTGATAGTAAGCATTCCTTGAATGTGAGATCAGAAATGGCCACTCTTAAGTCTCTTACATTCGTCTTCCACTCAATCAAGAGGGTTGATTATGTTTTTTAATGTAGTTCAAATTTTTATTCCTTAATATGTTCCAGAGAAAAGCAGGTGAAGCTTGTCCTCGATGGACCTCGTGTTTTCTATGGCCCAGTGGGAAGACTTGGAGGAGCGGTGTGTCCTTGATGGATGTCACTCTCGTACAAGTTCTCGTGTAACTGAGAAGGGTATTACAGTACTGTTGTTTGTATCGATGACTACGATATAAGAACGCGAATAGGGGCGAGTACTGTGCCTTTGAGAACTGGTTTTCACTGTTTAGACGACCTCGACTGTGAGGGGTGGTGGAGTGAGCAGGCGACGGTGGAGAATGATGGGGAGGGGATGGAGGGCGCAGGAGGAGGTGGAAGGCGCAGGAGGAGGTAGAGGGCACAGGAGGGGGTGGAGGGCGTGATGACCTCGACTGGTGGAGGTAGTGGAGGGCGTGGTCACTCTCAGGTACACATATAAGAGACATCTACACATCCTCCAGTCAGTCTATTCCAGTCGCCTCTACTGAACGTACCCATCATGAAGGCTCTGGTAAACCTGCCTACTTTCCTGCATGGTCTGGAATTACTGTCCTCACCTAGTGTGGGTGCCGAGGTCAAGCCTCGGCTCCTGTGCTTTCAATGTGAACATAAGCCTCTTATTGTGAGCATGAACTAGTGTGAACGTCTGGATCAGTGTGAAGGTGACTTCGATAGTCTTGCAGTGAAGATGCAACCGGTTTTCGTCAAACAAAACAAGCGTTTGTTTTGCAACGAATTAGCCCCTACAGTGTATTCTGTGTTAAAGAACCATCTAAATTTCAGTACCTTGGGTTGCTAGTGAACTGTTCCAGATACGGAATTGTGGGTTACTAGTAAATTGTTCCAGCAACGGAACTGTGGGTTGACAGTGAATTGTTCCAGACACGGTACTGTGGGTTGCTAGTGAACTGTTCCAGCCACGGAACTGTGGGTTGCTAGTGAATTGTTCCAGACACGGTACTGTGGGTTGCTAGTGAATTGTTCCAGACACGGTACTCTGGGTTGCTAGTGAACTGTTCCAGTCACGGTACTGTGGGTTGCTAGTGAATTGTTTCAGCCACGGAACTGTGGGTTGTTAGTGAATTGTTCCAGTCACGGTACGTGGGTTGCTAGTGAATTGTTCCAGACACGGAACTGGGTTGCTAGTGAATTGTTCCAGCCACGGAACTGTGGGTTGTTAGTGAATTGTTCCAGTCACGGTACTGTGGGTTGCTAGTGAATTGTTCCAGACACGGAACTGTGGGTTACTAGTGAACTGTTCCAGCCACGGAACTGTGGGTTGTTAGTGAATTGTTCCAGACACGGTACTGTGGGTTGTTAGTGAACTGTTCCAGCCACGGAACTGTGGGTTGTTAGTGAATTGTTCCAGTCACGGTACTGTGGGTTACTAGTGAATTGTTCCAGCCACGGAACTGTGGGTTGACAGTTAATTGTTCCAGGCACGGTATTAAGGGTTGTGTTCTTGGTATTGTGTGTAACGGTTATGATGTGATGAACATGATATACTGTTATGATGAACGTGAAAAAACTGGTGAATATGCTATAGTATGAAGCAACCATATATTTTTTTATGAACATGATATAAGATAACATAAGATAAGATTTTGTTCGGATTTTTAACCCCGGAGGGTTAGCCACCCAGGATAACCCAAGAAAGTCAGGGCGTCATCGAGGACTGTCTAACTTATTTCCATTGGGGTCCTTAATCTTGTCCCCCAGGATGCGACCCACACCAGTCGACTAACACCCAGGTACCTGTTTGCTGCTAGGTGAACAGGACAATAGGTGTAAGGAAACGTGTCGGAATTTCCACCCGCCGGGAATCGAACCCGGGCCCTCCGTGTGTGAAGCGGGAGCTTTAGCCACCATGAGTTCGTCTCTGTGAACTATACAGTGCCGGTGAATATGATTGTAGGTGAACATGATAACTGGTGAATATGACATGGTGTGTAGTGAATGATATAGCGTGTAGGGAACATGATATATATAATTAGTATGATATAGTGCAGTGAAAATAAGTTTTAGTAGTAGTGAACGTGATAGTGTGGCGGACGCGATAGTGTACGGTGAAAGTGATATACTGGTCACCATCTGTGTATTTAAAAAAAAACGTTAAAAATATATTTTTAGTGTACGGTGAAAGTGATATACTGGTCACCATCTGTGTATTTAAAAAAAAAAACGTTAAAAATATATTTTTAGTGTACGGTGAAAGTGATATACTGGTCACCATCTGTGTATTTAAAAAAAAACGTTAAAAATATATTTTTAGTGTACGGTGAAAGTGATATACTGGTCACCATCTGTGTATTTAAAAAAAAACGTTAAAAATATATTTTTAGTGTACGGTGAAAGTGATATACTGGTCACCATCTGTGTATTTAAAAAAAAAAACGTTAAAAATATATTTTTAGTGTACGGTGAAAGTGATATACTGGTCACCATCTGTGTATTTAAAAAAAAACGTTAAAAATAATTTTTAGTGTACGGTGAAAGTGATATACTGGTCACCATCTGTGTATTTAAAAAAAAACGTTAAAAATATATTTTTAGTGTACGGTGAAAGTGATATACTGGTCACCATCTGTGTATTAAAAAAAAACGTTAAAAATATATTTTTTTCAGAATATTATCCATGCTAAATTCTGCCATTAAAAAAACAGCCAAAAGGTCACTTTCCATTAATTAAATTATTGCGTAGATTTCAACATGATTTTGCAATACTATCAATTTCCACAGTGGTTGAAAATTGTCATAAATGTAGGAATATATACAGAATGTAAAATTGACTTTAGACAACCCAGGGAAACCTAGGATAACGTGGGATAACCCAGGATAACGTAGGATAATTCAGGATAACGTAGGATAGCCCAGGATAACGTAGGATATCCCAGGATAACGTAGGATAACCCAGGATAATGCAGGATATCCCAGGATAACGTAGGATATCCCAGGATAACGTAGGATATCCTAGGATAACGTAAGATATCCCAGGATAACGTATATCCCAGGATAACGTAGGATATCCTAGGATAACGTAGGATATCTCAGGATAACGTATGATATCCCAGGATAACGTACGATATCCCGGGATAACGTAGGATATCCCAGGATAACGTAGGATATCCCAGGATAACGTAGGATATCCCAGGATAACGTAGGATATCCCAGGATAACGTAGGATATCCCAGGATAACGTAGGATAACCCAGGATAACGTAGGATAACCCAATAAAGTTAAACGGTGGGACTAATTTCCATTCGGGTCATGGTTAGAGCAAGCTTTTCCTGGGACACCGTATCGCTCTTTGTAGAGCCTTATTATCTCTATACAGAGCGAAACGTGACCCCCCCCCCCCCCCTCCAATAAAATCCAGTTCTGGAAGGTGTGTTTCCTTCAGTGTGGGTCGTGTGCCAAGTTGTACACTACCAGCTTTCTCAGCACTATTTGTGTACTCCAGGAAGCAGTCATCCTGCCCTTGAACCATAAACTTCACTACCTCAACACCTTTACCAACGCAACGATAGCCACATATCCGGGACAATAATAGAATACTGTCTTAACACAATACTGTAATAACAGAATGTTGTCGTAATAGAATACATCTCTAGAGGATGTAACTACATACTGCAGTTATTTAATTACCTTTGAACTAATACACTAGACATTTACCAACAACCCGCAAATTGGAAAAGAAAACTAGACAATGGTTTATCTTGAACCATTATCAAATAGCTAATGAGATAGGACATGGTAAAAATCTAGAAGTTACGTACAGGCACGGGAGATGAGGTTGCAAAGTCAAGTTGTATGTGTTCTGAAGATCAGAGAATTCCAATTTGTGGCTTAGTTGTGTTTTTCTAGCCACGGTATTATGATTTATGTAACTAAACATTATATTTGCAGTTAATTTAATGATTTGTGTGTACAGGTGCTGTTGCTGTCAGTATCGTGTGTGTGTTGGTGTAAACCCACCACCGTGGTCAGCTTTAGTCCAGTGGGATATTCCCCGGGTGTTGCCCCAGGGTTTGCCTATGCCTTCCGAGCCCCAGCTCCTCTGTCTCCTCTGTATTCCCACACCGGCAGCGCCTCAGGCCGCTCACTTTTATCCGGAGCACTATCCAACCACATCGACCCCCTCGTCCGTGTGCCCACCGTGCTCAAGACGCAGTACCACAGCCAGGACGAGCTCGGTCAGTACGCCTACGGGTACGTTGGAGATGCTTCAACAGCCCACGAAGTGCGCACCTTGGATGGCGCCGTGCGAGGCTCCTACACCTACGTGGACAGCGACGGTGAGCTTCAGACCGCCAGCTATGTGGCCGATCGCAATGGCTTCCGTGTTAAGGCATCCAATCTTCCCCAAGCACCGCTTGCGCCTCCTCCTGCAGCAGTCTCACTACCAGAACCGGTCAAGCCCACTCCTGAGGTGTTAGCCGCCACTGCTGCTCACTTGCGGGCTTTTGCAGAGGTCAAGGCTTCCCGCATCAAGCGAGCAGCTACAGTCACCACTCAGCCGCCTTCTGCTAAAGTAACAACTGTGAAGCATACTGATAACATCAAGGTGGACCCTGTCCATGTTCCTGCTTCCGTCAATAACACTGATAACATCAAGGTGAACTCTGACCATGTTCCTGCTTCCGTCAATAACACTGATAACGTCAAGATGGACCCTGTCCATGTTCCTGCTTCGGCCAATGCCAATGCATCTAATAATACCAAACTCTCTGATTATGCCAAGGCTAATGTAGAAGTCGAAGAATCAATTATTCAAATGCCCTTCCCTGCGTCGCTTCCTGTAGCGCCTGCTTTCCCTGTCCCACTCACAGAGGCTGCTCCCTCTTATGTACCGCCACAGTTCCACGCGTTAGAAGAACTGGGCGAGTACAAATATGGTTATGATGGCGGACCATCTAGGAAACACGAGGTACATATTCCAGGTGGTGTCACCCGAGGTTCCTACTCTTATATCGACTCTGACGGTGAAGTGCAGACGGTGTCCTATATTGCAGACGACGACCTCGGCTTCCGGGTGCTGGGGAACAGTTTGGACGAAGACCTTGATGATTCCTATCTGTAAAATGTCTCTTGAGGTTGAGCTACAAAAGCCTCCCAGTTGGCATTAATATTCATTTCTACGGGTGCAATTGTTATTCCGTGTGAGTCTTATAGAAGCTTCCCCTGTGAGCCTGGCAACTGCCTCGGGTCAAGTCAACGGTCATCCAGCCAACAGTCGTCCATTCAACGGTCGCCTAGCCAACAGTCTTCCATTCATCGGTCGCCCAGCCAACGGCTGCCCAATCATAGCTCTCAACGGGGTCCTGGATTTAGTCATTTCATTAATTTATTGTAGTTTTAGTGACATGTGAGCAGTCGTACATTTGAGGGCACAAATCTAAGGGTAAATTACATTTCACAGCGATTTGACGGAGTGAAAAACACTTTGTTTCAATTATGCCAGTTTAAATTGTGCCCCTAAGGGGACATACAACACCTGGGGAATCGAAGGTAATCAGGTTTGATCCAAGGAAAGGGAAGGGTAGCTCCAATTCCTTGAATCAAGAGCTCTTGTAGGTTCCAGTTATTCTAGTCTACCCTTGCCCAGACGGAGACGCTTACGTGTCAATTTGTTTTTGCCTTCTCAGTAATTTAAAAAAAAAAATAAAGAAAAAAATATTTTCACTTATTTTAAATAAATCTATATATACAGATAACAGAGTATTGTTTCCTTAAAAAAATACGTGATGCTTTTAAACAGTGATGAAAGGTAGGTTGGTAAGAACTGTAAGACCCGTTCAAGAAGACAGTTTCCTGACAAATAAAACACCACCAAGATGTATTAAAGTAGCGCAGGTAAGTGGCCAGTTAGTGATGATATGGTATATGTGGAAAAAAAATAGACTGAATAGACATCCTAGACAACACGGTGTTGTGTTCCATTGCTTCTTATGGAGTGTAAACCTACCGTCACCTATTATGATGTGAAATATTTTCTTATACAAAACGAACGGTAATCCCATGACACAGTCACTGTCTCTTTGTTTTTTACGTACTGTGCTCACTGAAGTTTTAATCTTGCACTCACTACAGCCTTGTCTAGTATTTCAGCTCTGCCAGAACGAAATCTTAATCACGTACCTTCTGAAGTGTTAATGGAATACTCGACAATCTCTTCAGTGCTCTACTTCAGTCTATAAATAACAAAAAGGCACAATACCGTGACTGGAATAATACACAAATAACCCGCACATAGGACAGGGGAGCTTACGACGGCGTTTCGGTCCGACTTGGACCATTTAGTCACACCGAAACGTCGTCGTAAGCTCCCTTTTTCTATGTGTCGGTTATTTGTGCACTACTTCAGTATCCTAGACTTAACACTACGTATGTAACCTATTCTGTATGATGGAATATAACAGGAGACTTCTAGGTTTGGTTTACACTATATAGAACAGAGTAGCAACACACTGCTGATGTATCTAATTTTGCTAAACAATTTCTAGTTTAATATATTGTGGGATTATTATTATTATTATTATTATTATAATAAAGAAGCGCTAAACCACAAGGGCTATACAGCAAAAATATTTATTGTGGGAGATTGCCATTTTTTTTTTTTTTAGAAATATACAGCCACGACACCTCTCCGTAAGGAATAAAAAGGTACAATAGACAAATAAAAAGGCACAATAAACAAATAATCCGCAAATGGAAGACACACTATGAGGACATTGTGGTGCGACTTGGACATTAACTAGTTAAACCAGAGTTGGAAAGGTCGGACCGAAACGTTGTCAGAGTTTGTTGCCTAGTATGTGCGGGTTATTTGTGTATTACCTGTCCATCGCACTGCGTTATATTATCGTTAGAAATTTTTAAATATTCACGGAAAGCGTTAAACTCGTAGGGCTCATACAGTAGTACCGTGGAAAAGGAGGTAATCAGATTTAATCCAGGGAAGAGGAACCTCCACTGAAGGGATACTTTTCTGTAATTTAGGGTCTCCTATCGGTCGTTTTAATTATTATTAAAATATTGTGCGACTTCCAGGTAGAGGTAATGGTGTTTCCGTTATACTGGTGTCTTGTTCATGTCTTACGTATGATGCAACATTACCTGCTCCCTCGTTCTCCCAAGTCTACATTCCTCGTCATTTCCTTTAGTCTAACTTCGTTGGTTCCTCCACAATTCTTCAACAGAAACATAGCAGCACCCCATCATGGGGTGCAATGTTGATAAAAACTGAACTAAGACAGAAGCCTCATAGCATTCGGAACTAGTGAAAACCCTAAATCAATTTGTCCTTTATTTCGAGCCTTAATACATCTAAATAATACCATTTATTAAAAGGCCCATACACGTACAAAAACAATCCTATATATAAAAGTCAGTCATGACTTGCTCTGACATCACTGTTCCTAGAGTAACAAACATTACAACTGAAACACTAACATCAGCACCTTCTGCTCACCTCCCTTCAATGGCCTCCACACAAAATGCTTATCTTTTTCTCTCATATTTTAATAAATAAAAGAGATTAGCCTCACACTTTAGATGTACCCAATTTAGCTTTAATAAGAACTCCGATTCAATGGTCGCTGGTGCAGTGACCCGGCACTGGACTATGGGCTAGCCCACCTGCAAGGATCTTTCCGTACTAGTTTTCCTTATTTCCGCCAGTACGAACCTAACTGCGGTTGTAGTCTTAGCTCCTGGCTCATCTTATGATAATGACCCGCGTCACGGTTTTTTATTTCCTGATGAATAAACTAAGAACATTCAAACACACATCATCAGTCCCTCTCCCCAACAGCGCCACTACCTGATACCTTTGATGTCTCCTGTTTACACTTACACTACACGGCCAGCATCACCTTCAGACGTCAGGGTGAGGCACGTTGTGGGGTAGTGTGATCTTGTATATCTTGACTGGAAGGTGAGTCTCATTATAGAGGAAGAGAGCAGTGTCTGTGCCAAGTGTGGCCTGATAGACCAGAGTGTGTGACAGTCCCTGGTGTTGAACCTCCTCCAGGAACACACTAAGTGTCTCCTGGTTGCGACGGGTACACGCTATATACGCTTCCCTCTCATTCACTCCTTCCTCTTTCCTTTTACTTACTTTATCTTCCTCGTTGATCTCTTCGCTTATTCTTTGCTTTTCCTTGAACTCTGCCCCTTCTCTCTCTGCTGGATGTTGCATCATATTACATTCTTCTCGTTCTGTTTTTCCCTGCTGGCCATATACTGACCTGTTCTCTGATTTCCTTTTAATTACCATATCTTGGCTATGTTCTTCGTCTGCGCTCCCGTCTAAGATGGACCTGAGAAGGGCGCAGTTTCAATATTATTATAAGAGTAAGCTTTCTGATAAAGCTTTTGTATACAGTGCGAGTACATACGTGCAATTACTGCAACATTTTATTGTGCCATTAGTTGCACATAATGATTACACAACGAGAACGTTGTCACAATATTAGGTTATTCTAGCAGCTGTATTTTCCCACTGAAGTTACTGTAATGTTGAGGAAATCAGTAATAAAAACTGGTTGAGAAAACCTGTAATGTTTTACCACTGTATGAGTGAGGCAAGCAGAAGTGATGGAGGTGCGAGAGCTTGAAAAAAACAAGAATTGAGTAAACACTATGATATTTTTATTATAAAACGTTTTAATCGTGGGTTAGAGGTCATCAAGGTCCCAGGACCAAAACGCTTTCTGATAGTGTTTGCTTAGGTGTGTTTTTGAAAACCACATGTAGGCATCAGTTACCAAATTTGATAACAATGATGGTGTGACTACACACCTCATGAGGTGGTAATGTGAGGTACACGAGAAGAAACGGTGAGGATACTGAAGACTTGGGAACGGAGGTCAGCTCACATGAAGCAGAGGTCAATTCACATGATGCAAAGGTCAGCTCACATGATGCAGAGGTCAGCTCACATGAAGCAGAGGTCAACTCACATGATGCAGAGGTCAACTCACATGATGTAGAGGTCAGCTCACATAAAGCAGTAGAGGTCAGGCCAATACATGATGCAAAAGTCAGCTCACGTGATGCGGGAGATCAGCTTACGTAATGCAGAGAGGTCAGGCCACACATGACGCGAATTACATGTACAGACACAAGAGGACATGACTGCACGTACAGTTTATAGACAATAAACACATAAGGACAAAACTGCATGCACAAGACTTGAGGGTATAACGACTGAGTTCAACAACACTAACTCTTACTACCTCTACACACTGATGGCTGTTCCATCACTTCTGATGGAACACCCAGCCTGTGCACCGATTGGGTCAGACATGTCTATAACATGTCTATATCTACTATGTAATTCACTGACAGTAGGCTACCAGATTATTTAATTTAATAAAAGCTCTTGCACTACACCTATCATATACACTTTTCACAAATAATTTAGGGAATAATGCATCAAAATCTAAAAAGTGGACCGGGCCGCGGGGGCGTTGATCCCCGGAATAACCTCCAGGTAGACTCCAGGTATGCAACCAAATGATATTAAGACGATAAAGTATGTTAGGAAGTAAACAGGTTTAAAAAAAATATTTACAGCAGAGCAGGATAAATCAGAACCCTACTAGCAAAGCCTAGAAATCATTCGAACTACGAAGGGGGTGGAGAACCACTTAAACGAACCAAATGAACCTCAGTCGCTGTACAGTAAGCCCATACCGTGTAATTCCAATATCGTACCACAGTAATCCTCCAAAGGTATCCCTGTATTGCATATCTCTCCCCTATACCTAAATGCACGCGAAAGGCATAATACGATTTTAAGTGACAAAATCTGCCTCACAAAATCGTAATAACACGATTGCAAACGAACCACGGAACGGGTGGAGTTTGAACCCATGGCGAATTTTAGGACTCACCAGTCATGAGTTCAAACCTTACCCGTTCCGTGGTTTGCACTTTATTTATAATTACACTATTCACATTATTATATTCATGGAAGCGCTAAACAAGGACAGAGATGCAGACAAGGGCGGATATGAGAGGGCTGTTAGTGGTACCTACCTGATGAGAGTGACCAGGGCGGGGATGAGGTGTCTTGCATACACTACATCAGCAGCCAGGACAACATCCACGGGCGGCAGGGGCGGTGGGCGGCGCCAGTCCACTTGCAGGACACCCACCTTCGTCACCACACGCCCATCACCCACCTCCACCACCTGCAAGTACACTCACTGTCGTCACCACCTGCAGGTACACCCACTTCCATCACCTGCAGGTACACCCACCTCCACCACCTGCAGGCACACCCACCTCCACCACCTGCAGGTACACCCACCTCCACCACCTGCAGGTACACCCACCTCCATCACCTGCAGGTACACCCACCTCCACCACCTGTAGGTACACCCACCTTCACCACCTGCAGGTACACCCACTTCCACCACCTGCAGGTACACCCACTTCCACCACCTGCAGGTACACCCACCTCCACCACCTGCAGGTACACCCACTTCCACCACCTGCAGGTACACCCACCTCCACCACCTGCAGGTACACCCACTTCCACCACCTGCAGGTAACACCCACCTCCACCACCTGCAGGTACACCCACTTCCACCACCTGCAGGTACACCCACCTCCACCACTTGCAGGTACACCCACTTCCACCACCTGCAGGTACACCCACCTCCACCACCTGCAGGTACACCCACCTCCACCACCTGCAGGTACACCCACCTCCATCACCTGCAGGTACACCCACCTCCACCACCTGCAGGTACACCCACCTTCACCACCTGCAGGTACACCCACTTCCACAACCTGCAGGTACACCCACTTCCACCACCTGCAGGTACACCCACCTCCACCACCTGCAGGTACACCCACTTCCACCACCTGCAGGTACACCCACCTCCACCACCTGCAGGTACACTTTCGTCACGGCCTGGCTGTCACCCAGCTACAAATACAACATTATACAACATCCAAACGTTTGCCTCCAAAAGTAAATCTCTGGGCAAGACTTAAACCAGCAGGGATCAACCAGCAGGGATCATATAGCTCCAGGAAAATGGGAAATTATCAGGTTTGATTCAGTGAAGGGGAGCAGCTCTAATTCTTCGGATCAAGAGCTCTTCAACGGCATAAGAACACTCCCTCCCTCCTTAAAGGGTTAATCTTCCAAAAAACCGTCTTCCTGCAGAAATATTTTCCTGTATTTCATGTATCATCTTTTAAGTATCCTTCAGATATTTCCTTTCGTAAAATCCTGTTTTAGTTACTACCCAAATTATGGTTTCTACCTCAATTATCACACCTATCTACATTTTAATGGGTTTGGGTTTGACAAGGACCTGCCAAATATGGGCCAGTAAGCCTGCTGCAGCGCTCCTCCTTTCTTATGTTCTTATTATACACTGCTAACATATAGTTAACATAATGGTAAGCTGATTGATTAGTGAGGATGATCAGGTACTGTAACAGTAGAACTAAGAGAGGAAGAATAGCAGTAGCAGCAAGATAAAGAGGAGACAAATAACTGATTTGTACCGAAAAGAAGCAGTAATAACAGCAATATGGGAAAAGGAAATGCAGCAGTAACAGCAGGAAGAGGAAGTAAGTTGGGTAACTCACAGTAGGAACAGCAGCAGCACTAGTAGTACGAGACATATTGGTATCCTTGTGTGAGAGTCTAGGCCAGGGAACCACCTCTCCAGCCTCCACTTCTCCCTTCACCAACTCTTCACTAACCTCTCTCTGAAACTTCTCCAGTTCTTCTCTCTGGGGAGACACAAAACTCTTAATCTCTGCTATATGGAAGGATAAAATGTTCATTTGTGGAGTGGCAGGTCGAATGCAACGTCAAATATGAATTATATTGTCATTATCACTACATTACTACAGCTGGTTCAGTAGTCACTGGGCTGAAGAAAATATAAGTGCAAAACTTATTTTATACTCTTATTGCGACCTTTCGCTCTGTATGGAGCTTTATTGAGCTAATTATAATAGGAGAGCGCTAAATCCGTAGGATTATACACCGCACGTGGAGGGGGGTGATGGAAGGTATTCAGGGTTAATTCAGGGAACCGGAGCACAAATCCAATTCCCTAGATCAAGAGCCCCTCACCAGCATCAAGAAACCTCCCTTAAGGGGTTTACTGAATTAATAATAAAGCGCCACACTGGGGGGAACGTTGTCACAATTTAATCTTAATCTGCACCTGTCTTCATTGCTATAACCAGTATAATTCTGTATAGAAAGCCAGCCTCAGATCGGGCTATGAAAGTACAAAAATTAGACACTACCCACACAGTTTTTATCTCCATTTTGTATAATTCTATGAATGGATAGGCTACATCTGTTATTAGACAAATATAGGTTATTAGTTTACATTTTCCAATACAGTAAACTCTCTTATATATAGTGCGAACTTTTTGTAACTGCTATTGAAAAATACATCCAGAATTCAATAGTATGTGAACATGCCTTCATAATCAATATTAAATGAACCTTTTCAATTGCATTTACATAAAAAAAATTATATTGAGGAGTTTTATAAGTGTTTACTGTATATACAAACCTATGTGCACCACATATCTTGTATATCTTGTACAAATGGTCATTTTGGGAGATAATGAAAATATTATATTTTGATTAGTTTTGGTTGGGCAACATAATTCAATATTATTATTATTATTATAATCAAAAAAGAAGCGCTAAACGAATATAATTCAATAAACACCTACTGTGTTGAGCCAGACTGATGGCCGAGGTTAGGTTAAGTCATGTTACATTATTTTAGGTTAATTACGTTTGTTTCATTTAAGTTGGTTACTTTTTAACTATCTCAACTGCAAAACCAACTTAATGTTTTAAATTTCAATCTATAATCAATTTTCGAAATCAGCAATGTTCCAGAAATTAGAAAGGTAAACTGAGGACATGGGTGGCAAATTTCCATTTGCTTCGAAGACAGCGAGTCCCTCAAGGAAGGTTACTTGATGCTGGTGAGGGGCTCTTGATCTAGGGAATTGGATCTGTTCTCCAGTTCCCTGAATTAAACCTGAGTACCTTCCACCTTCCCCCCCCCCTCAGGCGCTGTATAATCCTACGGGTTTAGTGCTTTCCCTTGATTACAATAATAATAATAATCTGAAGACAGCGTTGATCTACGCTTTCTTGTGACTTTTTTTACGGTAATAAACGACTGCTTCTTGGTTGATTTCGGCCATTGATTATACTTTAAATTGTACAATATTAAGTTGACATATTACCTTGCTATGTAAATGTTAAAACAAAAACTTAACCTTACAAAATCCACCTAACCTAACCTAAAATAACTTAACATAACTTAACCTTACTCTCCGTTAATTGGCTCAGATGTGCTGCGTCAGTAAATGTTTTATTTTGGCAAATATCTCCCAAAATTACAATTTACACAAGAAATACTCCCTTATTTCACTGTGTACCTTGGTTATATATATTGTAAAATATAAATTAATGCCCAAGTTCCGCTGAATAGTAGTCGTAAAGATGAAGAATTAGACACATGCAACATTTGGGTATCTGTATTGGTAGACATTTTACCATCTTTTATCAATACAAATTTGTACTGATAAAGCCACTGGATGGAGAAACGTCTACCAATAAAGATACTCAGATGTTTCACATGTGTCTAATTCTTTATCTTGTCGGTGTTGTATACCATTTATGTACAGTGTCCTAGTGGCCCCCTCTGTAATTAGTATTTTATAACATGTAAACCACACAATACCCAAAACCTGTAAACCCCACATTGTAACCCTTATGGAGAATAAAATTAAATTGAATTGAATTAGTTGTAAACTATCAAGTTTTACAGACATTTAATTGATTACCTTTGGTGGTGACGATGCCAGGTTGAGTGTGAGATTGTGTTGGAGGAGAGTGAGAACATGATGGTGACAGTCAGTTAGTGTGTAGGTGAGTGGTGGAGGTTGACCTTCTGCAGGGGAGGTGAGGATGACCGAGGCTGTGAAGCCTACTCCAGCACCCAGCTCCATCACCCGCCGACCAGCTATAATGGCTGGGTTATCTGATGCCCACTGAGCCAGGATAGCTGCACCATACCAGGTGGTGAGACCTGTGGTGTTGTGGGTGATACCCCCATCACTCTCCAACAGTGTCACCCCCACCTGACCCATCACACTACCTCCCCATCCAACATATGTCTTGTATGACACTTCTGGGGCATAATCTGGGCAAGAAATCTCCTCAGGAATGAACTCCGAGGGCAGGTTCCACCCTCGGGCACGCCACTGGTCTCTCAGCCACTGCAAGACTTCACGGGCATGGGTAGTGCTTCTGGGTGCAGCTACAGCTAATGGGTGCTGCAAACTGGCCTTCAGGAGGCCAGACACCAGTTCAGTTTCAGATACTTCCTCCAAGACAGTGTCGAGGGACTTGGCTACATGTGCCCAGAGTGTGCGGGAAGTGGGCACCCCGGCCAGGTGTGCCCGGGCCAGTAACTCGTACATGGATTTTTTTTAACAATCTCACTCATTAATAGTCAAATTGTCATTATCTCGACCACACAAGTGATTGTATTCCTGTCTACTCACACCAAATTATTTTCTCCGAATCACTAGATCATTATTTTCAAAAGACAAGTACTAAATCCGTATGGGTTATAAAACTCGCATGATAAGAATTGCCAAACATCTTAGTTGTTCCTCTTCATTGTCTATTATTTTCCCCATCACAATTACATTTATGGGGAGGGAGAGGGCTAAACCCGTAGGAGTTATGTGGCACCTGTGGGAATGAGAAGCAATCAGATACGATCCAGGTAGGGAAAAATCAGTGTCCAGTAACCTGGATCAAGCCAAATGGAGATGGAAATCTTTAGTTTTAGCTCTTTCACATGTTTGTGCGTCGTTAGGAGCTATGCAATGTTGCAAGACAGCAACAGATATGAGGGGAAATTCTGAGGCAAGGCAGAAGCTATCCATGGCAACCCATGATACAGAGTGAAGGCCATCTGTGTCATGGACCGCCATTGATAATTTCTGCCTTGCCTCAGAGAATTTCCTCTTATATCAGTTGTTGTCTTGCAACATTGCATAGCTCCTGATGATGCATGAGTGTGAAAGATTTAGAATTAAAGATTTCCATCCCCATGTGGTTTTTTCTGTATTGGTAACATCACTTGTTTGTGATTGTATTGTTAACTGCTCATATCACTCAAAACACCCCATTGTCTAGCAAAAATTCTTAATTCTTTTCAAATGGATTCTACGCAACTGTGTTCAAAGAATTTGTCAGAGTTGTACTTCACGTGTAGATTACTATATTCATGGAGAACACTAACCCGTAAGGGTTATACACTACCTGGGAAATGGGGGTTCATCACTTTTGATTCAAGAAAGAGGGTAGCCTCAATATTATTATATTCATGAGGAAATGCTAAACCCATAGGCAACACTATGAATGGGGGTCACTCAAGTTAGATCTAAGTTGTAATAGACAAAATATGTCTCATACAGCAAGCTACACATTTTTTTTCAATAAATTTCAATATAAAAAAGTATCTATTTAATTCTGGTCTTCTGTTAAAAGAATTATCTGTATTACATTCATATCAGGAGAGCTAAACCCATATGGATTATACAGCAGCTGTATGAATGGGAGGACTGGTCCAGTGCCTTGGAACAAGAGCCCCTCACAACCATCAATTGTTATTTCAAATTCATTATATTCATGGGGGACCACTAAACCCAAAGGGGTCAGTTTTATACTCGGAAAGCAACCACTAAATCTGAGCTGTAGTTAGAACGGATCACTTGAAAGCTGCGATAGGCAATTGAGCTGTTATTAATTTTATATTTATAATGAAGCACTTAGCCTATTAAGAGGTCATAGTGTCTGGGTAATGGGAGACAACCAGGTTTAATTATAGTAGAAATTCAGTCCAATTCCCTAGATCAAGAGCCTTTCAACATCAAGGCACTTACCATTAAGGGTTAACCTAGGTGCATGAAAGTGGGCTTATTACTCTTGAAGACTCATGACTAATGGAGGACCATTAAGGCTGAATATCACTTGCACATGTCAAGAATATTGCAGGCAGAAAACCGTACATAAACACTACCTTTCTCACAAACACCGAGTGGCTCACCCGTGCACTGTTAGTGGTAGTACTGGCAACCAACACCACCACCTGCTACTTGGCACAACCCCCACTTGGCATCACTACCCCTCCTTGGCACCACCACAACCTGACCTATCTTTTGCTAGTCACAGGAAGCATTAAACCTGTAAGTCATACATTATCATACTCATAGGGAAGCCCCCAAACCCTTAAGTCATATATCATCTTGGGTATTGGAGGTAATCAAGTATTACCAGAATAAGAATACAGTTACAAGTCACTGGATCAAGAGCTTCCCATTGGCTAAGGCTGACCTGTCCTCTACCCTGGCCCTTTTTCTACAAACACACTGAACGGATTAATATCGAATACCCCCGGTATTCGATATTAATCCGTTCCTGAGAGCTCATCAAATACCGAAATTATCGAAAAGCGAATTAATTTTCCCCATAAGAAATAATGGAAATCAAATTAATCCGTTCCTGACACCCAAAAGTATGAAAAAAAGAAATTTACCACATGAAATATTAAGTTTAATGCACACAAACTGAAGAAGACATTCACAGTTTGTAGTACTCTACTAACAATAGAATACATGACACTTACCTTTAATGAAGATCTGGTGATGATTGATGGGATGGAAGGAGGGGAGAGTGTCGAACTTATTGTTTAGAAGGGGAATCCCCTTCCATTACGACTTGAGGTAGCAAGTCCTTTTCCAGGGTTACTTCCCTTCTTCTTTTAATGCCACTAGGACCAGCTTGAGAATCACTGGACTTCTGTCGCACAACATATCTGTCCATAGAGGCCTGTACCTCTCGTTCCTTTATGACTTTTTTAAAGTGGTTCACAACATTGTCATTGTAATAGTCACCAGCACGGCTTGCAATAGCTGTGTGAGGGTGATTGTCATCCATAAAGGTTTTCACCTTTGTCCACATTTCTTTAATCTGTGAAATAGGCAACTTCTTCAATTTCTCTATTCCCTCCTCCGAAGCAGTTTCCCCAGGTCTGGCCTCTTGCTGTTGAAGGTGATCTAGCAGCTCATCAGTGGTTAGCTCGTCATTGTCCTCCTCCACCAACTCTTCCACATCCTCCCCAGTAACCTCCAACCCCAAGGACTTCCCCAATGCCACAATAGATTCCTCAACTGGCATAGGATTCCCAGGGTTAGCCTCAAACCCTTCAAAATCCCTTTTGTCTACACATTCTGGCCACAGTTTTTTCCAAGCAGAGTTCAAGGTCCTCTTAGTCACTCCCTCCCAAGCCTTACCTATAAAGTTTACACAATTGAGGATATTAAAGTGATCCTTCCAAAACTCTTTTAGAGCCAATCAAGTGTCTGTGGTCACTTCAAAGCACTTTTGAAACAGCTTTATTATTATTACAATCAAGGGGGGAAGCGCTAAACCCGGAGGATTATACAGCGCCTGGGGGGGGGGGGATGTGGAAGGCATTCAGACTTAATTCGGTGAACTGGAGCAGATCCAATTCCCTAAATCAAGAGCCCCTCACCAACATCAAGGAACCTTCCTTGAGGGGTGAAACAGCTTTAGTGTACGGTTTCTTGAAGTTAAAAATGACCTGCTGGTCCATGGGCTGCAGGAGAGGAATGGTATTAGGAGGCAAATATTTGACCTTAATGAAGCTCATGTCCCCAGAAAGTCGCTCTGCCAAGTCTAGGATGACCAGGGGCATTGTCTAATACCAGGAGGCACTTAAGGTCTAATTTCTTTTCAATTAGGTAATTTTTCACATTAGGGGCAAATGCATGGTGTAACCAGTCATAGAAAAAGTGCCTAGTGACCCATGCCTTACTGTTTGCCCTCCACAGCACACACAAATTAGCCTTGAGGATATTCTTTTGCCTGAACGCTCTGGGAGTTTCTGAGTGATACACCAATAAAGGCTTCACTTTGCAATCACCACTAGCATTGGCACACATCAGAAGAGTAAGCCTGTCTTTCATAGGCTTATGTCCTGGGAGTGCCTTTTCCTCCTGAGTAATGTAGGTCCTGCTTGGCAATTCTTCCAAAACAGGCCTGTTTCGTCACAATTAAACACTTGTTCAGGTTTCAATTCTTCACTGTCTATGTAATCCTTGAATTCCTTCACATATTTTTCAGCTGCTTTTTGGTCCAAACTGGCAGCCTCACCATGCCTAATCACACTATGTATGCCACTACGATTCTTAAATCTTTCAAACCAACCTTTGCTGGCCTTAAATTCACTCACCACCACTAGTTGCAAGCATTTTTCTAATTAAATCCTCATGGAACTTCCTAGCCTTCTCACAAATGATCGCTTGAGAGATGCTATCTCCTGCTATCTGTTTTTCATTTATCCACACTAATAACAGTCTCTCAACACCTAACACTTGCAGTCACTGTTTCAAAAACACAGTTGCACCTTTTGTAACAACAGCTTCCTCGATTGCCGTTTTCCTGGTCACTATAGTAGCGATGGTTGATTGGGGTTTTGTATACAACCTGGCCAGCTCCGACACACGCACTCCACTTTCGTACTTTGTAATTCTCTCTTCATTTCAATAGTCATTAGCACCTTTTTTCGCGAAGAGTTGGCACTAGAAGCTTTCTTGGGGCCCATGGTGACTTATTTTGCAGAAACAAGCACCAAAGATACTGATAATATGGAATGTACCGAATGTATCCTTAGATGTGAGCACACTGGCTGGCTTGTAAACACTGGCACGCACGGGGCAGTTCAGGCCACACGTGAACACGTCTCGGACGAATTGCGTGTGGCGGGTTTTTTAACGAGTGGCGAGGCAAAATTTTTGCGTTAATTATTATTATAATCAAGGGGAAGAGCTAAACCCGTAGGATTATACAGCGCTTGGAGGGGGATGTGGAAGGCATTCAGGCTTAATTTGGGGAACTGGAGCACAGATCCAATTCCCTAAATCAAGAGCCCCTCACCAACATCAAGGAACCTTCCCTGAGGGGATTTTTGCGTTAAAATGTATCGAATACCGGATTTAACGAATACCGATGCCATCGAATACCAAGGGACCACTGTATTTAACAATTCCATCTCCAGCAAAAGCATCTTTATGCCAGTGAAGGTTTTTTTTATTCAAAGAACTGAAGCTAATCGACCCTCCTATAAGTCAAATCTATTTCCTATTCTCCAAACTAGTTTATCCATGTGGGTTTAGCACTTCCCAATTTTTTATAGACATGGAAAGCTTTCAACTCAGTAATATTAATATAATGGGAGTGCTCAACCCATGCACCTGGGAAATGGCAAGTAACTAGATTTGATCTGATAAAGGGGAGGTAGATGATCACTCTGCACTCTTAGCAGTAGAAACAGTATAAAGATAAAATTACCAGCAAGTCTACTAGCATTACTAAAACACAAAGTAAATAAATATCACAAAAGTTCAAACAGCATAAATTAAAAATCCCATGATAGTGTGTTAAGACTCCTAAATATTCCTGACAAGCACCTCAGTAATTACATTATGACAGCAAAAAGGCCTAAACTATGGGCAATTATGTGTTCCAATCATAAGAGTATTATTAATAATGGAGGAGCGCTAAACCCATAGGATTATGCAGCGCACATTGAGGGGGGGGATGGAAGGTACTTGGGCTCAATTCAGGGAACCAGAGCAGATCCAATTCCCTGGATCAAGAGCCCCTCACCAGCATCAAGAATCATAGTAGCTTAATTCCTTTGACCATTAGCCCTCACATACATCAAAGCATCCTCCATTCAGTCAATAGCCTAAGTTATTACTAGTAAATATTTACACTTCGAAGTGGGATGGAATTCTTTCTCCGTGATTATTATTATTATAATAAAAAAGAAGCGCTAAGCCACAAGGGCTATACAGCTCTTCCTCCGTAAGCTATGCCTACCGTAAGAGACTAAAAATGCTGGGAGCAAGGGGCTAGTAACCCCTTCTGTATAAATTACTAAAATTAAAAAAAGAACTTTGGTTTTTCTTTTTAGGTCACCCTGCCTCAGTGGGATACAGCTGGTTTGTTGAAAAAAAAAAAAATTACATTTACACTAGTACATATTCTATTTACCAGTGATATTAGGCAGTTAGTTTGTAACTGCTTACCAGCAAAACTCTTACTTCATTTGTCAAAAGTATTACTCCCAATGGAGTCTTATTAGTATTATATTGACGAAAGTGCTAACCCCAATAGGGTCACCAAACCTGATCCATTGTTCTCGCTGGTCATGACAAGAATTACATAAAAAGCACTAAACCCCTATGGGTCAGTGCTGCAATGGCAAGGAAACAACTAGCATGGCATCTACCAACACATGCTAACGTTTTAGCTAACCCAATGGTGTGCCGATAAGTCATACAAGTTCTGATCCAACGAATGGGTAACTCAAATTCATTGGATCAAGAACCTGTACCCCACCTTGAAGGAAGCATTCATGCAAGCATTACTTCAGCAGCACAATATATATACTGTACTGAGGTAACTCAGTGTACACATTACAAAGCATAATTCTGCATGGACATTTTCCCATTAAACACTTGCAAGCAATAAAGACCTGCAAAACAAATATGATTCACAGGAAAAAAAAAAGTAAAATAGACTTAACATTTATTTATATAAATTTACATTATCACTGGAATTCTGTACAACACATGACTTATTTTTCAGGAATAACTTACGTAACATGTTTTGCCATAGTTTACCAGACTTAAACTAGTGCTCTGCATCCCAATGATTATTGGAACATTTACCAGCACTCTGTACATTACTTATGTTAATCCAAGGAAATTTATAGTCACAGCTTAGCTTCCTTGAAGTGCCAACTGCTCAGCCTTCTCAATAACATCTTGAATGTCACCCTGCATGTAGAAAGCAGCCTCAGGCAGATGATCGTATTTCCCAGCCAAAATCTGCTCGAAACTCTGAAAAGCAAATCAAAAGAAAAACATACAATTATACTTCAAAGTCTGCATAATGCACAATAAATGTACTTTATTTATAAAGATTAACTTGGTAGAACTATGATATTAGAAGTATTTAGGGGAGTAAGCAAAGTATTATGATAGTACAAAGTCTCTAGCAGGCATGTGAGAGCATGTAAGACAGGAGTGGAAACTAAGAGCTGTTGAGTGAGCAAGGTAACATTTTGTTAAGGGATTCAGGGAAGTCAGTTAGCCAGAGACTTGAGTGTGGAGGGAGTGGGGATATCTGCAGCTTGGAGGGGCATCTGATCTGTAGCACTGGCACACCTCTGGTAAGACAGTGATAGATTTAATGACAGTGAAAGTGATTCTTTTTCGGGTCACCCTATCTCGGTGTGTTAAAAAAATGTCTCTGCAACAGAGCAACTATGGATAAAATGTCATACCATCTGCAAAACAATGTTATTGTCAGAGATGTGGGTAGGCTAATGACCTAGGGTGATAGGGAAGTTAGGATTCAGCAGAAAAGGCGTAAGATGTTACCAATGACTGGTGGATATACAAAAATAATCCAAAACAGCAAATATTTTATATTAGATTGTAAAAATTATAGAGGAATAAGTTTACTGAGTATACCAGGAAAAGTATACGGTAGGGTTATAATTGAAAGAATTAGAGGCAAGACAGAATGTAGAATTGCGGACGAGCAAGGAGGCTTCAGAGTGGATAGGGGATGTGTAGATCAAGTGTTTACATTGAAGCATATATGTGAACAGTATTTAGATAAAGGTAGGGAAGTTTTTATTGCATTTATGGATTTAGAAAAGGCATATGATAGAGTGGATAGAGGAGCAATGTGGCAGATGTTGCAAGTATATGGAATAGGTGGTAAGTTACTAAATGCTGTAAAGAGCTTTTATGAGGATAGTGAGGCTCAGGTTAGGGTGTGTAGAAGAGAGGGAGAATACTTCCCGGTAAAAGTAGGTCTTAGACAGGGATGTGTAATGTCACCATGGTTGTTTAATATATTTATAGATGGGGTTGTAAAAGAAGTAAATGCTAGGGTGTTCGGGAGAGGGGTGGGATTAAATTATGGGGAATCAAATTCAAAATGGGAATTGACACAGTTACTTTTTGCTGATGATACTGTGCTTATGGGAGATTCTAAAGAAAAACTGCAAAGGTTAGTGGAGGAGTTTGAGAATGTGTGTAAAGGTAGAAAGTTGAAAGTGAACATAGAAAAGAGTAAGGTGATGAGGGTATCAAATGATTTAGATAAAGAAAAATTGGATATCAAATTGGGGAGGAGGAGTATGGAAGAAGTGAATGTTTTCAGATACTTAGGAGTTGACGTGTCGGCGGATGGATTTATGAAGGATGAGGTTAATCATAGAATTGATGAGGGAAAAAAGATGAGTGGTGCGTTGAGGTATATGTGGAGTCAAAAAACCTTATCTATGGAGGCAAAGAAGGGAATGTATGAAAGTATAGTAGTACCAACACTCTTATATGGATGTGAAGCTTGGGTGCTAAATGCAGCAGCGAGGAGACGGTTGGAGGCAGTGGAGATGTCCTGTCTAAGGGCAATGTGTGGTGTAAATATTATGCAGAAAATTCGGAGTGTGGAAATTAGGAGAAGGTGTGGAGTTAATAAAAGCATTAGTCAGAGGGCAGAAGAGGGGTTGTTGAGGTGGTTTGGTCATTTAGAGAGAATGGATCAAAGTAGAATGACATGGAAAGCATATAAATCTATAGGGGAAGGAAAGAGGGGTAGGGGTCGTCCTCGAAAGGGTTGGAAAGAGGGGGTAAAGGAGGTTTTTTGGGTGAGGGGCTTGGACTTCCAGCAAGCGTGCATGAGCGTGTTAGATAGGAGTGAATGGAGACGAATGATACTTGGGACCTGACGATCTGTTGGAGTGTGAGCAGGGTAATATTTAGTGAAGGGATTCAGGGAAACCGGTTATTTTCATATAGTCGGACTTGAGTCCTGGAAATGGGAAGTACAATGCCTGCACTTTAAAGGAGGGGTTTGGGATATTGGCAGTTTGGAGGGATATGTTGTGTATCTCTATACGTATATGCTTCTAAACTGTTGTATTCTGAGCACCTCTGCAAAAGCAGTGATAATGTGTGAGTGTGGTGAAAGTGTTGAATGATGATGAAAGTATTTTCTTTTTGGGGATTTTCTTTCTTTTTTTTGGGTCACCCTGCCTCGGTGGGAGACGACCGACTTGTTGAAAAAAAAAAAAAAAAAAAAATTAGAAATTGCTGTTCAGAATTACACTATATGTAAGGATCACATACTTGATATAACTTCAGATACAGTGGACCCCCGCATAACGATCACCTCCGAATGCGACCAATTATGTAAGTGTATTTATGTAAGTGCGTTTGTACGTGTATGTTTGGGGATCTGAAATGGACTAATCTAATTCACAATATTCCTTATGGGAACAAATTCAGTCAGTACTGGCACCTGAACATACTTCTGGAGTGAAAAAATATCGTTAACCGGGGGTCCACTGTAATTACGTGGGGTGCCCCCACCTGACCTAACATACAACTGGGATTATATTTCATTAAGAAAAAATTGGCTATACCTGTTGCAGCCCTACCACAGATTTTTTTATGAAATATTAAATATTTTCAAGATCTAAGCCAAAGAATATGTTGGGCTCTTAAAAGCTGTGATTTCCAAATACACAAACCTACGTTAAACTGGCAACAATCATTTGTGCACTTCCAAAGTACTCAATCACCGTACTATACAAAGGAGCACAAACAGTCGTACAACCCCGAATCAAATTCTGCATATTAGATATTATTAGTGCTATGCACAATCTACAACTTAGTTATGGAACCAATATGTTACGTACTCCAGTTTGCATGTAGGAAATAAACCTGGTCTTGCAAGGTATGGAAGATTATGTCCAACCTAGATCATTATTACTATAGCAGGTTACTTAATATATCCCTAGCACTAATTGCTAGAAAGTAAGGACCAACCAGAGGACTTCTGATACACAGAGTATAAATAGGAAACACATCTGTTACAGGCTCAGCAGATGGAGGATCAAACCTCCACCAAGTCTTGCGCTGAATGACCCAAACAGGTTTAGCGCTTAACATGAATTAAACAAGATAATTCTGTCTGTGAATGGAAAATGGTGGGAAGGACCAAGAAGTAATTGTTTATGCCCCTTGAGTGGGTGTGCCATGTAAGTTTCTCTTCATACAAGATGAAGAGGGTTGGCCATTCCATAAAAGCACTTAGGAAACCAACATTAGAAGACCTTGGAACCAAAGTGTAGTATACTTGCCAGTTCAGTGGTGGTAATGAATGGTTTTCTTCTGCTACTGTCAAGTGTTAGCCCAGTAAAAGAACACATACAACTAATGCAACATATTACCGTGAAAACATTTCACTCTCCAGTAGTGTTGTCAAGCTCCTGGAGAGTGAAACGTTGCCACAATAAGATGTTGCATTAGTTGCAAATGTATCCTTGAAACCTAACATATTGTTGGCAATTCTACCAACATTATTAGTATCAAGTGAGCTGTGAAAGGGGAGCTCAATACCAGAAGCATTGTCCCATAAATGCCTTTAGAAAAACAGGCAAAATGTGATAAAAAGGCACAAACCTAAAATTAATTTAAGCCTGTAAACTATCTTTCACACTACCCTGAAGGAATGAACCAAGATACAAAACTGCAATTCAAAACTATGGTGCTCTTCACCAACTCCAAGGCTGAAGAACTGACTGCCTCGTTTTTTTGTACATAGTTCTAGTCTTCTAATTACGCCCTTGAATATACACTGTAAAGCTACTGGATGGTGAAACATCTACAAATAAAAATACCCTGATGTTGCACAAGTGTCTAATAATTCATTTGTTAAAGAAATTCATAATTCAGATTTGAACAAAAGTGAGATTTCAAAGGTACTGTGGAATATTCTCATACCTTCAAAACAAAGGCAAATGTAAGCTAAAAGCTAAAATCCTAAAGAAAAGAAAAATAAATACAAGCAATCACTTCTTGAAAGGATAACTATGTGCAACAAAAGATTTTGCTACTGAAATAAAGGCAAATAAAAAGAATTATATTTCAGATGCATTTTTTGTTACTTACAGCTATTGTTTTATCTAGTGGCACAAACTTTCCAGAATAACCAGTGAATACTTCTGCCACCTGGAAAGGCTGGGACAAGAACTTCTGAATTTTGCGAGCACGTGCTACTGTCAGTTTATCCTCTTCAGACAACTCATCCATACCCAAAATAGCAATGATATCCTGTAGTGATTTGTGATCCTGGAACAAAATACTACATGTTAATACATACAGTAAACAAATTTTGTTATTTGTAGTAACATCAAGTCTGGAGTACATTATGTTAAAAACAAATGGTACACCTGTATGCATCATACAACACTACAAATTTGGAATACAAACCACATGGATTATTTCAAACAAAACCAACCTGAAGAATCTTTTGTACTGATCTTGCAACATTGTAGTGAGCCTCTCCAATAATATTAGGGTCCATGATACGAGATATAGAATCCAGGGGATCCACAGCTGGGTAGATACCCAACTCGGCAATGCCACGAGACAACACAGTAGTGGCATCCAAGTGAGCAAAAGTAGTGGCAGGGGCAGGATCAGTCAAGTCATCAGCAGGCACATAAATAGCTTGAACAGATGTAATTGATCCCTTCTTGGTAGTAGTAATTCTCTCCTGCATGCTACCCATGTCAGTAGCCAGAGTAGGTTGGTAACCTACAGCAGAAGGGATACGCCCAAGCAGAGCAGACACTTCAGAACCAGCTTGAGTGAAACGGAAAATGTTGTCAATGAAGAGCAGCACATCTTGTCCCTCCTTGTCACGGAAGTATTCAGCTACAGTAAGACCAGACAGGGCAACACGGGCACGGGCACCTGGGGGCTCATTCATCTGACCGTATACCAAAGATACCTTGGAGGTGTCGTCCTTTAATGAAATCACGCCAGACTCAATCATCTCGTGATAGAGATCATTTCCTTCACGGGTGCGCTCACCTACACCAGCAAACACAGAGTAACCACCGTGAGCCTTAGCAACATTGTTAATCAGTTCCATGATGAGTACAGTTTTGCCCACACCAGCACCACCAAAGAGACCTGAAAATAAACAATAATATAATATGCAGGTATAAACAAAATAATATTTTTATCTAAATAAAGTAGCACCATATATTTTTAATTTAGTACTCACCAATCTTTCCACCCTTTGAGTAAGGGGCCAGCAGGTCTACCACCTTGATGCCTGTTACAAGAATCTCTTGCTCAACAGACATGTCAACGAAGTCAGGAGCTTCAGCGTGAATGGCTGCATAATGCTCAGTAACAACGGGCCCACGTTCATCAATAGGCTCGCCTAGAAAATAATTGCAAATCTAAATTGTTTTGCAATGGAAATGCATTAAAAAATCTACTGGAGTAGGATTCAAAAACAAATTTTATAATGGGGTCATCCTAGGAAAGGATGGAGGGAGGGGGTGAAAGAGGTTTTGTGTGCAAGGAGCTTGGACTTACAGCAGGCATTTGTGTGTTAGATAGGAGTGAATGGAGACAAGTGGTTTTTGGGACCAGATGAGCTGTTGTTGTGTGAGTAAAGTAATACAGTATTCTGTAAAGGGATTCAGGGAAACCGGTTAGCCAGACTCAAGTCCTGGAGGTGGGAAGTACAATGCCTGTGCTTTAATGGAGAAATTTGGAATATTGGCTGTTTGGAGTGATGTCTAAACTGTCCTATCTGCACACCTCTGTAAAGACAGTGATTGTGTGTGAATGATGGTGAAAGTGTTTCTTTTTTGGGTCACCCTGCCTCCGTGGGATACAGCCGGTGTGCTGGAAAGAAAAAAATTTCTTAGTGTTTGCTCACAAGTCTTTTTTAAACCAATTTGTTGGTATCTATTACCAAGGTCTATAGCAAACTATACTACCCATTTACATGTTTATAATATATAACTGGGGACTGTCAAGAGTAAATTAAAAACTGCTTGTCCTAAAAATTAAATGGGGTACCATAAAACCTTACATCAATAACAAGAATAATTTAAGGTGTAATAATGAAAGTGATGAACTAGTAGCTGAAAATTCCACTATGACAAAATTAAGCATAGCTGGCTATGTCAGAAAATTTTGTGTTTGCATTAAAAATGGCTACATCACACTCAGGAGGAAGGAAGACCCTGTAGGGATCATAAAGCACCTAGGAACTGCAACGTATTTTTTTTTTTTTACGATTTGATAACCTATCATGCATGGAAGAACTAATGGGAGAATGTGGGATGGGGTTCTCATTCACCAACCGATATTTTAGTTATTAACAAAATCATTGCTCTCTCCTTACCTTTTCATCCAATTTTACCTTTTACTCTTTGCAACTAAAATCCTTCCATTAATATTCCGGAACTTGTTCTGAGGCTTCCTGGCATCAACTTTTACTCTCATTATAAATCTACTCTTTAGTGAAATTAAGTAGCAACTTTTATCAGCTCAAGTAGCATTTGTAATTTTATTATAAGAAATTTTATTAATAATCAAAAAAGAATCTGGGATTTTAAGAAATGTTTTACTTGCTTCCTCAAATTTAGCACTAAGGCATTTGAACTACAGTAAAACCCCCGTATCCCCTGATTCGGTATCCATGGTTTATCCACGGTTTACTATGGCCCAAAAATACCTCTTAATTTTGCATAATAACAGCCCCAAAGTGCAAAAGTAGAAAAGCTGGCAGTTCTTCAATGCCTAAAAGAAGCCAGGAATTGCTTCCCATTAGTGAAAAAGTGATAATTCTCCACTTACTGTGCATAATTTTTCAATTAAACTTTATAATAGATATGTATAGGGCTTATATATAGGGTCTGCTACTATCCACGTCTTTGGTATCCATAGCAGGTCCTTGGAATGTATTTCCCCCCCCCAGATACAGGGGTCGTACTGCATATGTGGAAAATTCAGCATTTTACCTATTGAAGATTATCTCCTGAGGAAGCCATTCAAAAATTCTGTCAAAGCTCCAACATATATCCTGTTACTGGTTTACTAGGTTTTGAGATTCCCTTGCAAATACTTTTCACATTTTCAGCTTACCAATTACATTAATAATACGACCAAGTGTGCCCGGGCCAACAGGAATGGAAATTGGGCTGCCAGTATCTTTTACAGCATTACCACGGACAAGACCTTCTGTACCATCCATAGCAATAGTCCGCACTGTGTTCTCTCCTGCAACAAACATTTGTGTTACACACAGCAACACTTTTTAAATCTTGGGAGAAAATTGCATACACATACTAATAAAATTCAAATCCTATTTAACAAAGTTTATTTCAGTGTTTATAATACTTCCTGTGCACTTTTATTTTTATAACATTTCTCAAAACACAAATTTATCATATACCGAAATAATTTGTAAGAAAATTTAATGAACAAGTCACAATAACGTGACAAGAAAAAGGCACATTTAGAGATAAAATGTCTGAAGACTTTTTGATCCATCAAGTTAAAGGAAAAAAAAAAAAAAGATTAGCACTACGGTGGAACCTTGGTACACAAACAGCTTTGCACTCGAACAATTTGGTATTCGAACGCTTTGTTCGGTAAACAAATCGCTCAGTCGATCGTTTGCTCAGAACTCAACCAAACAAACACGACCTGCCAGAACTTCACTGTAAACTATTTCGTGTTGCTTCACATTTTTTGGAATTTTTTTATATTTTTTGTTGAAATAAGTCACCATGGGGCCTAAGAGGGTTAGTGATAACCAAAAAGGAAATTGGTTGGGAAAAATTCATTTGGTACTCAGACAGATCGGCACTTGAGCAGCCTTCTGGAATGAATTAAGTTCAAGTGCTGAAGTTTCACTGTGCTTTTACTACCACCACCTCCTTAGTCCATTTTCTGGGCTTCTCTGCCTTTTCTCACTCAGCTGTGACTTGATAATGGTCTAGGACTAAATGAACGAGACTGTCTAATGATTTAGATTTTTAGATTTTGCCACCGAAGTGGCTAGTTTATTGTGCACCCCATATCCATCCTGTGGACGGTAGCGCGAGAGCATATGGATACACAAAAGGCCTAGGAACTAGGCCCCAAAGGGTTAACAGGAATACATATGGATTTATATCTACATATCTATAGTTCACTTATCTGTTGCAAGCAAATTTAGGAAATTTGCTTAGTATATCTGGTATCTTATTTTCATTAATAAGATATCTTGACATGTCACGTAGGTTATTATACTGTCTGTCTCTGTATTCCTCAATAAGTGGACAATTAAGCACATAGTGTTCAAGAGTGTGACCATATGCCTGATCACATAATTTACATTTAGTTTGATCATCATGTGTGTGTCTCCCAAACTGCCAGAAGTACTTGTAACCAAGCCTAAGCCTGGCCACTACAACATCAGTCAGTCTGTTCACATTGCAAGTTGCTCCATAAACATACTTATCTACATTCATGTTATCATAGTGGGTTATAGATCTACTCAGGCTTCTAACTGCATTCCTATAACAATCATTTTCATTATTTACTTCTCTCCTAATATTATTCCTAATGCTAGACACAGTTATACCAGTTATATTCTACATTCTCCTTCTGGGTACTCTTCTTGGCTAACATATCAACTTTATCATGAAGGAGTAATCCAATGTGTGATGGGATCCATAGCAATTGTACATTAATTCCTTTGTCCCTAATTTTTGAGTATCTATACCTGGCTTCTCCAATGAGCATGTTGTTGGAGTCATTATATGAGTCAAGAGCCTTCAATGATGACATAGAATCAGTAATGATGATAAGAGTCAAGGTCAGTATCATAGGTTAGCTTTAGCGCCATTAGGATTGCAAACAATTCAGTTTGCAGTGTAGACGCCCAGTTGTTAATTCTTATGCCTAACTCAACAAATTTATTATCGTTCTTAACTAGGGAGGTATCAACAAGAGCAGATGCAGCCCTGCCAGAAGACTCCTGTTTAGATCCATCAGTGTATATAACTTGTGATAACTTATTACTACCAGCTGGGTGAGAAATTTCTTCTTGAGCAGTTGCTCTAACAAGAGATTTAAGGAAGGGATTACTAGCAATAAGCTTCTTGGGAGGGACTTGTAGGTATGTGATATTAAATGAACACATCTTCCATGGAGGGGTGAAATGCTCTTGTTGCCTACAGTGATACAGTTCATGCAGGTTATAAAACTTAATGCAATTGCACATTTTCACAATCCATTTAGATCTGTGTGTATTTACCTCTAGACACTTGGCAAGATTCACTGTGACAGTGTCTGGTTCGTTTCTCAACATTCTAATACCGAGTACAGTGTTAATTTCAACAATCCTATCACTGATACTAGAAATACCAAGCTCCTTCCTCATGTTAAGAACTTTTGTAGATCTGGGACAGCCAAGAATAATCCTGAGAGCTTCATTTTGCATTAACTCCAAGGGTCGGAGAGAACTTTCTCTAGCTAATATCAACATGGGAGCAGCATAATCAATTAAGGACCTAACATAGGCTATGTACATCATTCTCACGATTCTCACATTAGCACCATAGTTGGGATTGTAGCCAGCAACAGCTTTGAGAGCATTTAGCCTAGCTTTGCATTTCTTGTTTAGTTGTGGTATAGTGGATTTGTTAAAGGGTACATCTCTTGATGCGATCAAGAGGGTTGGAAACGAGAGGAGTGTAAGTGCGTGAGTCAGAGAGCAAGACATCAGCTTTACGGAGGTAATCCTCGCGATCAAGGATAACTACCGAATTACCTTTGTCAGAAGATAGTATGACAATGTTAGTGTTGGATTTAAGAGAAGAAAGGGCAAGTTGGTAACGGCGTGGAAGGTGGTGATTCTTAGAAAACAGACTAACAAGAGCTGGAAGGAGAGCACCACGAAAAGTGGACAAGTCAGGAAGATTACGGAAGCGAGATTGACGAAAGGAATCAAAAGAGCTAATCAGGGAAATACCAGCGCGAGGAGTAGGCGAAGTGGCAAAGGAAAAACCAAAACCAAGAAGTTCAAGCTCATACTGAGAGAGTGAGACAGAAGACAGATTAGTAACACAGTCAGTGAGGGTGAATTTAGACCAAGGGCTAGCTGAGATGAGACGTTGTAGTTTATTCTGTAATTTAGAAGAATGAATTTGTGCATTCAGGCGAGCAGTGTCAAAGGCAATGGTAGAGAGAAGGTTACAGAGATCCTGTGGTAGAGCAGCAAAGAGAGCACGTTGACGTTGACGGAAGGTAAAGAAGGCATCTTCAACCTGTGACTTAGTAGAAAGAATGAGCTGTTGAAGTAGGAGACGGGCATGATCAGGAAAGGGAGTGCCCAGTGGGTTGGTTTTCAGTTAGTGGGAGAAGGAAGGTGGCAGAACTTGCTCAGCAAGACAGTCACGTAGGAAGCGAAGCTGATTCTTACGACACCTGGTAGCAATAAGAGCAGCCTCATAAGATCGAAAGAGGGGTTTAAAAGAGGGAAGAACATTAAAAAAGTTGGAGAGAATATGACGCTTAACTGCGGGGTCCATAAATAACAAAAAAAGGCACAATACCGTGACTGGAACGATACACAAATAACCCGCACATAAAAGAGAGAAGCTTACGACGACGTTTCGGTCCGACTTGGACCATTGACAAAGTCACACTAACCAGAGGGGGAGCAGGATGGCTATAGACAGGAAGAGGTGGTGGTGGTAGTAGTAGTAGTATAGTAGTAGTATAGTAGTAGTAGTATAGTAGTAGTAGTATAGTAGTAGTAGTATAGTAGTAGTATAGTAGTAGTAGTAGTATAGTAGTATAGTAGTAGTAGTAGTATAGTAGTATAGTAGTAGTATAGTAGTAGTAGTATAGTAGTAGTATAGTAGTATAGTATAGTAGTATAGTATAGTAGTAGTAGTATAGTAGTAGTATAGTAGTAGTATAGTAGTATTAGTAGTAGTAGTAGTATAGTAGTAGTATAGTAGTAGTAGTATAGTAGTAGTATATTATAGTAGTAGTAGTAGTATAGTAGTATGTGTAGTAGTAGTATAGTAGTTAGTAGTATAGTAGTATATAGTAGTAATTAGTATAGTAGTAGTAGTATAGTAGTAGTATAGTAGTAGTAAGTAGTATAGTAGTAGTAGTAGTATAGTAGTATAGTAGTAGTAATAAGTAGTATAAGTAGTAGTATAAGTAGTAGTAGTATAGTAGTAGTATAGTAGTAGTATAGTAGTAGTAGTAGTATAGTAGTAGATGTAGTAGTAGTATAGTAGTAGTAGTATAGTAGTAGTAGTATAGTAGTAGTAGTATAGTAGTAGTATATAGTAGTAGTATAGTAGTAGTAGTAGTATAGTAGTAGTAGTATAGTAGTATAGTAGTAGTATAGTAGTAGTAGTAGTATAGTAGTAGTAGTATAGTAGTAGTAGTATAGTAGTAGTATATAGTAGTAGTAGTATAGTAGTAGTAGTATTAGTAGTATAGTAGTAGTATAGTATAGTAGTATAGTAGTAGTATTGTAGTTAGTAATAGTAGTAGTAGTATAGTAGTAAGTATAGTAGTAGTATAGTAGTAGTAGTAATAGTAGTAGTAGTAGTAGTATAGTAGTAGTAGTATAGTAGTAGTAGTATAGTATAGTAGTATAGTAGTAGATAGTATAGTAGTATATAGGAGTAGTATAGTAGTAGTAGTATAGTAGTAGTTAGTATATAGTAGTATAGTAGTAGTAGTATAGTAGTAGTAGTAGTATAGTATAGTAGTAGTAGTATAGTAGTTAGTATAGTAGTAGTATAGTAGTATAGTAGTATAGTAGTATAGTAGTAGTATAGTAGTAGTATAGTAGTAGTAGTAGTAGTAGTAGTAGTATAGTAGTAGTATAGTAGTAGTAGTATAGTAGTAGTAGTAGTAGTAGTATAGTAGTAGTAGTAGTATAGTAGTAGTATAGTAGTAGTTTAGTATAGTAGTAGTAGTAGTATAGTATTAGTAGTAGTATAGTAGATAAGTAGTAGTAGTAGTAGTAGTATAGTATAGTAGTATATAGTAGTAGTATAGTAGGTATAGTAGTAGTATAGTATAGTAGTAGTATAGTTAGTAGTAGTATTAGTAGTATAGTTATATAGTAGTAGTATAGTAGTAGTAGTAATAGTAGTAGTTAGTTAGTAGTAAGTATAGTATAGTATATAGTATAGTAAGTATAGTAGTAGTAGTATAGTAGTAGTAGTTTTAGTAGTAGTAGTATAGTAGTAGTAGTAATAGTAGTAGTAGTAGATATGTAGTATAAGTAGTATAGTATAGTATAGTAGTAGTATATAGTAGTAGTAGTAGTATAGTAGTAGTAGTATAGTAGTAAGTATAGTATATAGTAGTAGTATAGTAGTAGTATAGTATAGTAGTATAGTAGTAGTTAGTAGTTAGTATAGTAGTAGTAGTAGTATAGTAGTAGTAGTATAGGTAGTAGTAGTAATAGTAGTAGTATAGTAGTAGTAGAATGTATAGTAGTATAGTATAGTATAGTTAGTTAGTAGTATATAGTAGTAGTAGTAGTAGTAGTAGTAGTATAGTAGTAGTATAGTAATTAGTAGTAGTATAGTAATAGTGATAGTAGTAGTAGTATAGTAAGTAGTAGTATAGTAGTAGTAGTAGTATATAGTAGTATATAGTAGTAGTAGTAGTATATAGTAGTAGTATAGTAGTAGTAGTATAGTATGTAGTAGTAGTAGTAGTATAGTATAGTAGTTAGTAAGTATAGTAGTATAGTATAGTAGTATAGTAGGTATATAGTGTTAGTATGTTAGTAGTAGGTAGTATTAAGTAGTATGTAGTAGTAGTATAGTAGTATAGTAGTTAGATATAGTAGTAGTAGTAGTATGTAGTAAGTATAGTGTAGTATGTAGTAGTAGTATAGTAGTAGTATATAGTAGTAGTTATAGTTAATGTAGTAGTATAGTATATTAGTATAGTAGTATATTAGTATAGTAGTAGATATAGTAGTAGTATAGTTGTAGAATAGTAGTAGTATAGTAGTAGTAGTAGTAATTAGTAGTAGTAGTAGTATAGTAGTAGTAGATAGTATTGTAGTAGTATATAGTAGTAGTAGTAGAATAGTAGTAGTAAGTAGTTAGTATATAGTTAGTAGTATAGTAGTAGTAGTATATTGTAGTAGTAGTATAGTAGTAGTAATAGTATAGTAGTAGTATAGTATAGTATATAGTATAGTAGTTATAAGTATAGTATAGTATATAGTAGTATAGTAGTATAAGTAGTAGTAGTATAGTAGTAGTAGTAGTAGTATAGTCTATAGTAGTAAGTAGTATATAGTAGTAGTAGTAGTAGTAGTAGTATAGTATGTATAGTATAGTAGTAAGTATAGTAGTAGTATAGTAGTAGTTAGTAGTATAGTAGTAGTAGTATAGTATAGTAGTAGTAGTATAGTAGTAGTAGTATAGTATAGTAAAGTAGTAAGTATAGTAGTAGTAGTATAGTAGTATGTAGTAGTATAGTTAGTAGTAGTATAGTAGTAGTAGTAGTATTAGTAGTAGTATAGTGTAAGTAGTATATAGATAGTAGTAGTAGTATAGTAGTAGTAGTAGTATAGTAGTAGTTGTAGTATATAGTTGTAGTAGTATAGTAAGTAGTATAGTATAGTAGTATTAGTATAGTATAGTAAGTAGTATAGTAGTAGTAGTAGTATAGTAGTAGTAGTAGATAGTGTAGAGTAGTAGTATAGTATAGTATGTATAGTAGTATAGTATAGTAGTAGTAGTAGTAGTAGTAGTATAGTAGTAGTATAGTAGTAGTACAGGAATTGTGTATAATACCGATAAGATGAAATTAAGACACATGCACAACACCCGGGCATCCCCATCGTAGACGCTTCGCCATCCAGCCAGCCACTGGATGGCGAAACGTCCACAACAAAGACAACCAGACGCCTTCTTATGCCCTGTTGTATGGATCATGATATCATCAGCATAGCTTATAGCTATATGTTTAGGTGAGGCAGGTAGAGCATTTAGGAGAGCATTAATCAGAATATTAAATAGCATGGGACTAAGAATTCCTCCCTGCAGTGTACCTAAAGACATTTCTTTAGAATCACTTCTGAAGCCTTGGTAAAGGACAGAGGATACTCTATTTGACAGGTATCCTATTATCCAGCAGAGTAAGCTACCACCAATATTCATTTTGGCTAGTTCATGTAGTATAACGGTTCTGTTCGCAATATCAAATGCAGATTTTAGATCAAGAAAAGTGGTAAAACTAGTAGAGGTGTGTGCAGTGAGAAAGGTGGAAATCTGTCTAATGTTGTCTGTGTTTACTGCAAAATCAGACAAAACTTTGCAAATCAAAAGAGCATTTCTCTTAATAGCCACCTTCTGTTACCATAAAGCACATCCAAAAAAGATGAGATCAAGACACTGTATACATTTTAATTAAATAATTAAAGATAATTTTTTTTGAGGAAGTACAGTGGACCCCCAGTATTCGATGCATTATATCGCAAAAATTTCCCTCGGTATTCGATTGAAAACCCGGTATTCGATACGATTTGTACGAGACCTGTCCACATGTGGCCTGAACTGCCCCTTGTGTGCCAGTGTTTACAAGCCAGCCAGTGTGCATGCATCTAAGGATACATTTGGTACATTCCATATTATCACTGTTTGGTGCTTGTTTCTGCAAAGTAAGTCACCATGGGCCCCAAGAAAGCTTCTAGTGCCAACCCTGTGGTAAAAAGGGTGAGAATTAGTATGGAAATTAATAAAGAAAATTTTGAAGGGTTTGGGGCTAACCCTGAGAAGCCTATACCAGTTGTGGAATACACTGTGCCTACTTCAAAAATTAAGGAAATGTGTGCACAGTGGGTTGAAGTGCAAACCTTTATGGATGAAAATCACCCTAACACAGCTATTACAATGACAATGTTGTGGCCCATTTTAGACGAATCGTAAAGGAACAGGAGGTACTGAGCTCTATGGACAGATTTGTTGTGCGACAGAGGTCCAGTGACTCTCAAGCTGGTCCTAGTGGCATTAAAAGAAGAAGGGAAGTAACCCTGGAAAAGGACTTGCTACCTCAAGTCCTAATGGAAGGGGATTCCCCTTCTAAACACTAACACCTCTCCCCTCCTTCCATCCCATCAATCATCACCAGATCTTCATTAAAGGTAAGTGTCAATTATTTTATTGTTATTGTAATTATTCTATTGCATTAAACTTAATATTTCATGTAGTAAATTTTTTTTTTCATACTTTTGGGTGTCTTACACGGATTAATTTGATTTTCATTATTTCTTATGAGGAAAATTGATTCGGTTTTCGATATCGGTATTCGATGAGCTCTCAGGAACGGATTAATATCGAATACCGGGGGTCCACTGTAGTGTACACATACAGAGAATATAATGAAGAACTTTTGATATAAAATACAGAAAATATGGTAGTCATAAATATGAGTGAATGTTCTGTTGAATCAAAACTCTTTTTAGTGTAAGGAGAATATATATGTATGAAGTTATTCAGAGATACAGCACTACTTAGCCAGGCTAATTTAAGAAATGGAGTGTATAACAATTGCTTTTTGAAATTAGGGTGAAGATGTTGTGATTCAGAGCACTAATGTTTTACAGGTTAAAAAAGCTTCAATCCAGGAAAGGATTACATCAGTCCTTACCAGACTATCAAGTTTAATGGGTAATATTCTCACCAAGATGCTGAGCAACCTCAAGAACCAGCCTGGGAGTCCGGTTTGCCACCTCCAGAGAATTCAAAATAGGAGGCAGCTCCCCATCAAACTGCACATCAACAACAGCACCAATTACTGCAACAACCTTGCCAGTAGCCACTCCAGTCTGTGTGGCAGCCTCAGCCTTGGCAGCATAGTTACGATCTGAAAGAGCAACAAAGGTTAATGGTACGCGTAATAAAAAGCCTTCAGCAATCCACATTATTACATCAGATGGCCAGGATCTGTCACCATTATCAAGTATGGCACGCAAAACCGGTTTCATCAGAAAAATCTAATACAAGGGAGGCCTGGTCACAGACCGGGCCGCGGGGGCGTTGACCCCCGAAACTCTCTCCAGGTAAACAAGTACCATCTGACTTATGACCAAGACTAGTTCTGACCAAGTCAAAATGGACAAAAGTCGTACCTCAGAAAATTGCTGACATACTGGGTAGGGCATAATGTCACACCTTTGCCATATAAAGTACCTGCATAGTATCGTATGTAACTTTTTACTAAATATTTTACTACTGTATATCAACATAGTTATGGTAATGATTTTATTTTATAGTTTTATTTTTGTACGGCTATATAGATGAGTGGTCGTATGTCAAGCAGGTTGTAAGTTGGATGGTACTTGTAGTTATAACCACAGTAACTGGGACCTGAATTACTGCAGTCAAGGATTCTTAAGGAAAAAAGTTTATTTAGGAGGTACAGTTGCACATAAATATTTACACAAATTATCATACATAGTAGCATATGAACAGATTATCTAAGATAACCTGAAAAAGTCAAAGTGACTTATTTCCAGGTCCTTGATGAACTAATGTGATAGGTACTGACAAAGTGAGATGTCCTCAGCTTTTAATTACCAAACAATTACCTTGGTCATCAAGACTGATAGCTGAGTTGGGGGAAATGAAATATGAAGAAAGAATGAGAGAATTAGACCTTATCTCATTTGAGAGGCAAAGGAAATAAAAATAGGGTAAATAATCACAACAAATATACTAAGAGGCACAGACAAAGATAAACTCTTTACCAGAGATACAAGATATGATGGGTCTATACCATTATTTTTGCCAATAACACCATAAAAATAAGCATACTCAAAAAATACCAAATGATTTGGTTCAACCCTAAAATATTACACATCAAAATCAGCCACAAGAATATTAGGAAGTATGTTTTAATGTAAGTGGTTGACAAGTGAAATACGGTAACAATATACACCATGGAAGTAAACTCCATTCAGGTATTTGATATATTATAATCACTAAGCGCTAAACTCACAAGGGTCATACAGATTTTTGAGATATGACAACGCTCAATATGAAAAAGTTCAACCATGAGCACCCCTCAGGGAAGGTTCCTTGATGTTGGTGAGGGGCTCTTGATTTAGGGAATTGGATTTGTATTCCAGTTCCCCGAATTAAGCCTGAATGCCTTCCACATCCCCCCCCAGGCGCTGTATAATCCTACGGGTTTAGCACTTCCCCTTGATTATAATAATAATAATAATCAACCATGAGCATATCACCAGCATTAATCTATGGTAGTATTTATTGCAAATGTCAACGAGATCACCAGCATTTGCCTCTGTTGCTAATTTTTGCAATGCTCTTTATAGTAACAATTCATTAGGTGATGTCAGTGACCGGGTGGTCACCGGCACACTAATACCCATCTTATATATACACTTCTGTAGCTATGGATAAGTAACTATGTATTTACCGACTACCAGAAGCAGCTTCATCAGCAGTAGCTATTACAGCAGCAGGTACAGCAGTTATCTACTACAGCAGTAGGTACAGCAGTTACATACTACAACAGCAGGTACAGCAGTTACCTGCTACAACAGCAGGTACAGCAGTTACCTGCTACAACAGCAGGTACAGCAGTTACCTGCTACAACAGCAGTTACCTGCTACAACAGCAGTTACCTGCTACAACAGCAGTTACCTGCTACAACAGCAGTTACCTGCTACAACAGCAGTTACCTGCTACAACAGCAGTTACCTGCTACAACAGCAGTTACCTGCTACAACAGCAGTTACCTGCTACAACAGCAGTTACCTGCTACAACAGCAGTTACCTGCTACAACAGCAGGTACCTGCTACAACAGCAGGTACAGCAGTTACCTGCTACAACAGCAGGTACAGCAGTTACCTGCTACAACAGCAGGTACAGCATTTACCTGCTACAACAGCAGGTACAGCAGTTACCTGCTACAACAGCAGGTACAGCAGTTACCTGCTACAACAGCAGGTACAGCAGTTACCTGCTACAACAGCAGGTACAGCAGTTACCTGCTACAACAGCAGGTACAGCAGTTACCTGCTACAACAGCAGGTACAGCAGTTACCTGCTACAACAGCAGGTACAGCAGTTACCTGCTACAACAGCAGGTACAGCAGTTACCTGCTACAACAGCAGGTACAGCAGTTACCTGCTACAACAGCAGGTACAGCAGTTACCTGCTACAACAGCAGGTACAGCAGTTACCTGCTACAACAGCAGGTACAGCAGTTATCTGCTACAACAGTAGGTACAGCAGTTACCTGCTACAACAGCAGGTACAGCAGTTACCTGCTACAACAGCAGGTACAGCAGTTATCTGCTACAACAGCAGGTACAGCAGTTACCTGCTACAACAGCAGGTACAGCAGTTACCTGCTACAACAGCAGGTACAGCAGTTACTTACTACAACAGCAGGTACAGCAGTTACCTGCTACAACAGCAGGTACAGCAGTTACCTGCTACAACAGCAGGTACAGCAGTTTACCTGCTACAACAGCAGGTACAGTAGTTACCTGCTACAACAGCAGGTACAGCAGTTACCTGCTACAACAGCAGGTACAGCAGTTACCTGCTACAACAGCAGGTACAGCAGTTACCTGCTACAACAGCAGGTACAGCAGTTACCTGCTACAACAGCAGGTACAGCAGTTACCTGCTACAACAGCAGGTACAGCAGTTACCTGCTACAACAGCAGGTACAGCAGTTACCTGCTACAACAGCAGGTACAGCAGTTACCTGCTACAACAGCAGGTACAGCAGTTACCTGCTACAACAGCAGGTACAGCAGTTACCTGCTACAACAGCAGGTACAGCAGTTACCTGCTACAACAGCAGGTACAGCAGTTACCTGCTACAACAGCAGGTACAGCAGTTACCTGCTACAACAGCAGGTACAGCAGTTACCTGCTACAACAGCAGGTACAGCAGTTACCTGCTACAACAGCAGGTACAGCAGTTACCTTCTACAACAGCAGGTACAGCAGTTACCTGCTACAACAGCAAGTACAGCAGTTACCTGCTACAACAGCAGGTACAGCAGTTACCTACTACAACAGCAGGTACAGCAGTTACCTACTACAGCATCAGGTACAGCAGTTACCTATTACAGCATCAGGTACAGCAGTTACCTACTACAGCAGCAGGTACAGCAGTTACCTACTAGAGCAGGAGGTACAGCAGTTACCTGCTACAGCAGCACGTACAGCAGTTACCTGCTACAGCAACAAGTACAGCAGTAGCTACTACAGCAGTAGCTACTACAGCAGTAGCTACTACAGCAGTAGCCACTACAGCAGCAGGTACAGCAGTAGCCACTACAGCAGCAGGTACAGCAGTAGCCACTACAGCAGCAGGTACAGCAGTAGCCACTACAGCAGCAGGTACAGCAGTAGGTACAGCCTCCCTCTCCAAAAACATCAGCTGACGCCCAAAATGTCGACCTAAAATATACAAAACTCCAAGAATCTCAGATTTAAACCAGTCTACATCGAAGTCATGTAGATGATGCTTGTAGATGTGTGATATATCAAGTTATCTGGCTACAGGAAAAACAAAAACTATGAGAATATTGGGTGGTGGGAGATATAATGGCGGCCGGTCATGATAGCCGGGTGGAAGTAGGTACCGGCTGGGACACCTCAATACCCAGGCTCAGGGCACTTATTGTGGCACTCACGGGCACTGTAGAGGGCTGGCAGGCTCCTAGCACCTCCATGCTGCAGGTTGATGGCACCCACAGCAGGTTTAGCAGCCTTCAAGACGCTGGAGCAGGCTCTCACAGTAGCTCCTAACATGGTGGCTGGTGGAGAGTAATGGCGGCCTGGCTCTGACTGGCTGGCCTGGCTGTGGCCTGGCTGTGGCTGGCTGTGGCCTGGCTGTGGCTGGCTGGCTTCGCCAACCCTCGGCCACACTCGGCTCTCCTCGGCTCTATCATGTGATAAATGGTTTAAAAAACCGACAGGTTGAATATATAATAAGACTGGTACAATATATGGGAATCTTTATTTAGGAAGCTTCCATAAGATTCCCATATATTGCTTAAGTCTTACTGTTCTGTCTACCATATACTACTAACCACACGAGTTTATTTAGGCACAGGAACACTTAAGTACAATTATCAGTGTAAATTACCCACCAGGATAACCAAAAAATGTCAATGTGACTTATTTCTCTTAGGGTCCTTGTACTTATTTCCATTGGGGCCTTTGTACTTATTTCCAGTGGGACCAAGTAAACCAAATCCTAACTGATATAAGCTGGGAAGATATACTGGAGTTTAACTGGAGAGAGTTCCGGGGGTCAACGCCCCCGCGGCCCGGTCTGTGACCAGGCCTCCTGGTGGATCAGAGCCTGATCAACCAGACTGTTGCTGCTGGCTGCACGCAAACCAACGTACGAGCCACAGCCCGGCTGGTCAGGAACCGACTTTAGGTGCTTGTCCAGTGCCAGCTTGAAGACTGCCAGGGGTCTGTTGGTAATCCCCCTTATGTATGCTGGGAGGCAGTTGAACAGTCTCGGGCCCCTGACACTCTCTTAACGTGCTAGTGACACCCTTGCTTTTCATTGGGGGGATGTTGCATCGTCTGCCAAGTCTTTTGCTTTCGTAGTGAGAGATTTTCGTGTGCAAGTTCGGTACTAGTCCCTCTAGGATTTTCCAGGTGTATATAATCATGTATCTCTCCCGCCTGCGTTCCAGGGAATACAGTTTTAGGAACCTCAAGCGCTCCCAGTAATTGAGGTGTTTTATCTCCGTTATGCGCGCCGTGAAGGTTCTCTACATTTTCTAGGTCAGCAATTTCACCTGCCTTGAAAGGTGCTGTTAGTGTGCAGTAATATTCCAGCCTAGATAGAACAAGTGACCTGAAGAGTGTCATCATGGGCTTGGCCTCCCTAGTTTTGAAGGTTCTCATTATCCATCCTGTCATTTTTCTAGCAGATGCGATTGATACAATGTTATGGTCCTTGAAGGTGAGATCCTCTGACATGATCACTCCCAGGTCTTTGACGTTGATGTTTCGCTCTATTTTGTGGCCAGAATTTGTTTTGTACTCTGATGAAGATTTAATTTCCTCGTGTTTACCTTATCTGAGTAATTGAAATTTCTCATCGTTGAACTTCATATTGTTTTCTGCAGCCCACTGAAAGATTTGGTTGATGTCCGCCTGGAGCCTTGCAGTGTCTGCAATGGAAGACACTGTCATGCAGATTCGGGTGTCATCTGCAAAGGAAGACACGGTGCTGTGGCTGACATCCTTGTCTATGTCGGATATGAGGATGAGGAACAAGATGGGAGCGAGTACTGTGCCTTGTGGAACAGAGCTTTTCACCGTAGCTACCTCGGACTTTACTCTGTTGACGACTACTCTCTGTGTTCTGTTAGTGAGGAAATTATAGATCCATCGACCGACTTTTCCTGTTATTCCTTTAGCACGCATTTTGTGCGCTATTACGCCATGGTCACACTTGTCGAAGGCTTTTGCAAAGTCTGTATATATTACATCTGCATTCTTTTTGTCTTCTAGTGCATTTAGGACCTTGTCGTAGTGATCCAATAGTTGAGACAGACAGGTACGACCTGTTCTAAACCCATGTTGCCCTGGGTTGTGTAACTGATGGGTTTTTAGATGGGTGGTGATCTTGCTTCTTAGGACCCTTTCAAAGATTTTAATGATATGGGATGTTAGTGCTATCGGTCTGTAGTTCTTTGCTGTTGCTTTACTGCCCCCTTTGTGGAGTGGGGCTTGTATTTATTTCCATTGGGGCCTCTTATACTTATTTCCATTTGGGGTCTTGTATTTATTTCCACTGGGGTCCTTGTACTTATTTCCATCTCTACCGGCGAAATATTACTATTACAATAAAAACTGAGCACTAAACCCACAAGGGTCATACAGCACTGCAGAGCAGGATGTGCTAAGATGAAATTTGTGAAGATCAGCAAACCAGCGAGGGTTAGGAATATCAAGGACCCCTATGGCAATAAAGGACCCCAATGGTAATAATCAAGGATACCAATTTAAATAATCAAGGACCCCCGTGAAAAACAATCAAGGACCCTGGTGGAAAATAATCAAGGACCCCAGTGGAAAATAATCAAGGACCCTGGTGGAAAATAATCAATGACTCCAATGGAAATAATTAAGGACTCCCAATGAAAATAATTAAGGACTCCCAATGGAAATAATTAAGGACTCCCAATGGAAACAATCAAGGACCCCAATGGTAATAAGTCACTAACTTATTTCCAAGAAGCAGTGAGGATTATTATTATTATTATTATAATCAAGGGGGAAGCGCTAAACCCGGAGGATTATACAGCGCCTGGGGGGGGGGATGTGGAAGGCATTCAGGCTTAATTCGGGGAACTGGAGCACAGATCCAATTCTCTAAATCAAGAGCCCCTCACCAACATCAAGGAACCTTCCTTGAGGGGAAGCAGTGAGGAGAGCTAAAGGTTAAATGTAATCAGAGTTACTGTAATATTATTATTACAATCAGAACTGAAGCACTAAATCCACAAGGGTCATACATGTTAGGTAAAAGGATATATGTGCAACTAATGATATATTTTATGGGAGCAACGTTTCACTCTCCAGGACCTTTGTAGCAATGGTTCCACCTGTGGCCTTTTATCTAACATATTGTCGGTAATTGGTGTAAACATTATTATTATTACAATCAAGGGGGAAGCGCTAAACCCGGAGGATTATACAGCGCCTGGGGGGGATGTGGAAGGCATTCAGGCTTAATTCGGGGAACTGGAGCATAGATCCAATTCCCTAAATCAAGAGCCCCTCACCAACATCAAGGAACCTTCCTTGAGGGGATTGGTGTAAACAAAAAGGCAGAATACCGTGGCTTAAATAACACACCATTTACAAAGTCACACTGACTGGAACAATACACAAAAAACAGAACATAGAGAGAAAAACTTATGACGTTTTGGACCATTTACAAGTCACACGGTGTAACTTGTGAAATAAAGCAAAGGTCAAAAAGTTAAGAGGGAGTCTGGGTCACAGGTGGGGCGGCGAGATATTGAAAATTTGTTCATATATGCTGGTAATAGAGCCCATTCTAGGGTATATTTACTTTTGATTTTTTTTTTTTTTGGGGGGGGGGGAGGGGAGGGTTGCCATAAAATGAAGTCCTCATATATGACTTGCCCGATAAGGTTAACAAAAATTGAAAAAAAAAAAATACCAAATGATAATAAAAAGCTTACATGCTCCTTTAAGTTTTATTAATAAAAAGTAAAATCAAGCAGTGTGAACTTGTGTACAAAGTGTTTAACGTTTTCAAATTATTGTAATAGGAAAATGTGTAAAAATCTATAAAAATATAGGAATGACACAAAAATATAATCCTGTTTTTATTGGTTGTAACATAAGGTACAATACTTTCACATCCTGTGAGCCTATTCAAGACTTGGAAGGGTATGAAATTCCAAGAAGCAATTCCTGATCTGGTTTAAACCCTGCCGGTGAGGTAGTGTTGGGTTATACCTCTGATTACCATCAATAATGATGGTTACACTGTTAATGCACAACAAGAAGGATTTGTCAGAGCCATACTTGCAAAGTACCTTACCACATTTAGGTATATGAACAGCTTGGAGAAGACACAAGAGACACATTCAGGCTCCTTAAATATTTTGCACTGACATGCAGTTCAACTCTGAAATTTCTGAGGGTCATAAACTCCTTATTCAGAAGCTGACAGTCACGCCAATACAATAGCCAGGCATTGACACAAGAAAGATAAGGTCATATCCAGAGGTGCATAAACCACCCTTTGGATATGAGTGGAGTTTTGTACAAATGAATCAACGTATCACTCTTATCTATACCTCCCAAACCATACCACAGGTGGGGTTTGAACTCTCGATCAGTCGTAAAACTCCAGACCGAAGCGTCGATTTGGAGTTTTGAGACTAACTGGGGGTTCTATCCCCATCCATGGTATGGTTTCTTTGCGATCGAGTCATTACAATTTCGTGAGTAAGCTATGCCTCCCATACGTGCATTATACTTTATTATGATCGAAGTACAATCAACGGCCACCTTTTGTTTGGTCTCCTTGATGTAATTCTGTATCTTTGTCACAGGGTTGATGCCCACATCGTTTGTCAAATATAATCATGGGGAGCGCTAAACCTGTAGGGATGGAGGATGGACAGTATTCAGGGAACTGGAGCACAGACCCAATTCCCAAGATCAAGAGCCCGTCACCAGCGTCAACCTCCCTTGAGTACATGCAATTTAATACTCTGAAGCTAGCCAAGGACTCGAACCCATGCTGCTTTGGCCTGCCTCATGGTGGGCAAAAACTCATGACGCCTTCATCCACTGGACCATACAACACAACATTCCACAGTGGATTAAGGGGTCACGAGTTTTTGCCCACCATGAGGCATGCCAAAGCAGCATGGGTTCAAGTCCTTGGCTAGTCAGTGTTGTTATTGATAAATACCACTCGTTCGTGGGCACAATAATACCCTGATTATTATTATAATCAAAAAGAAGCGCTAAGCCACAAGGGAATAATACCCTGAAGATAATTCATCAGACTGGTGAAGAAGTTATCTGCATGTATTGCTGTGGTATTTTATGGTCCAGTCTTTGCTAGGCAAATAATGAACTTTGAACTCATGGACATATTTCTCCTACTCTGTTAGGGCAACACTGAAAATCAAAGACTGTTTTGCCCTGATACATGTCGTGTATGAACCCATCACCGCTGGGATGGCAAAATATTTTGAAACCTCATTTACCAGGCTTTGTCCTGATATATGGCCTAGTTTCCAGCTCTTGTACCCTTATATATCTGACCATTTCCTCAACTGTTTTGGTGTACCTTCAAC